GTAGGCATTGGTGATGCACGGCCACTAAATATGGACGACTATTAAGCAAAAGCTTCTTTTATACTTTACAGAATCATCTGATTCATCTTAACGTATCTAGCCTATCGATCGTCTCTCTTCCTAATTATCTGAGTTAAATCTTATTCGTGGACTAGTTGACGTTAGAGAATAACACCATTGGATGCCGGCTCACTGGTCTAGTGGTTAAGCGAAACCAGTAGGTCCTGGGTTCGAATCTCTCAGGGAGCGGGGTCGTGGATGCGCACTTCTGAGGAGTGCTACAATAGGACGAAACGGCCGCCCGGTGCCTGCAGGTTTACTATGGTGGTTTAGCTTCAACTGACTCATGATCTTAAACATTGAGGTTGATGATGTCACAGGTATTCAGTGTTTGACAAGGCTTCTACCAGTAACACCTTCTAACATATTTCGTTCCCACCTAGAGAAATCAAAAGACAGAGTCGAGGAGATCGGAAGAGTGCATTGGGCGATTACCAATATATCGGAATTTTCTGATCCAATCTGGCTAGCGATTGCGGTAGATGTTGAGCACGACGTTACCACACGTGATCTGGTGCGGATGCATGACCGAGCGCCTTCAGCTAGATGAGTCCACTAAAACATATGGTCAGCATCCAATGTCGAAAATTTAGAGCTATTTATTTTGGGGATTTATTTACCGCTACAGATCACTCCCCCCCTAGTGGGGCAGTGACGACCCTAAGACGTGGCCAGCCAGAAGTTTAAACCCAACGAGTTCGTCGTTGGTAAACACTCTTCTGATAGCTTACTAAGTGTAGCAGCGTCTGGTCGTCTTTCCTTACTATATGGGACCGAGGTACAACATAGTAAAAAAAGAAAAAGTTACAACGAAAATTTCAACTTCTCGTAAACAGCATCGTTCTTTTCCAGCCGTCCTGGAAAAGAAAGAAGAAAGTGTAAGTGCATGTCGAAATACACTCGTATGTGCGTAAAAACACAATGTCGGCGAAAAAATGGAAAATATACTCAAGCACACGTAATAGCGTTAAAAAATGTTTTTTTTGTTTTTTTTTAAATAAAAATATAAATATATAGGCATATTAAAATTGTTTTTTTAAATATTATATATCGTAAAAAGAAAATTCGAGATAATATAAAATGTCGATTAGTGCCTTACGTGCAGTAGTCGTTTAAATGTTCTGGAAATCTTACTCTTCTTACAGAACGCGTCGTTTTAGGTTTATTTTCAGATACATTCGGAGTATCATCGCTAGTGTTGGTTGTCGGTTGAAAAATTATGAGTGTAGGAGTCGTGTTGTACGATTGTACCGAAGGAAAGTTGACGTGAATGTGATTTCCTTTCAAATACGCTGCTTTTAAGCGATCGATGCTGATGCTATCGTTTATTCCGTTCTTATCGACTATATAGTACTTAGATTCACGTTGAAGAACTTTGAAAGGTCCTTCGTACGCTGATTCGAATGGTCGTCGATGCGAGTCTCGACGAACGAAAACGTGTGTACTATATCGTAAGTCACGTTGAACGAAAACATCGGTTGATTGTGGTCGAGCGGAAGCAGGTTTAGCTGAACGCATTGCGTTTGTAAGCCTGTTCGTGTAGGAGGTTAGATCCATGTTCATTGAAGAGGACGAAGGATCCACGAATTCTCCTGGAAGTCGAAGTGTCATTCCATAAACGAGTTGGGCCGCAGTGTATCCAATGTCAGCTTTCACTGCATTGCGAATACCTAGTAAGACGAGTGGAAGAGCGTCAGTCCACTGTGAAACGTTTACAGCTGATAGCGAAGCTTTTAGTTGTCGGTGAAAACGTTCTACCAACCCGTTTGCTTGTGGATGGTGGGCGGTCGTTCGGAATCGAGTGATTCCTAAAAGTGTGGTCAGACGACGGAAAAGTTCAGATTCACACTGACGTCCGCGATCTGTAGTGATGGTTGAAGGGCAGCCGAAGTTTGCTATCCATCGCCCGACGGAGGTGCGAGCCACTGTTTCAGCAGTGATGTCCTTGATAGGTACTGCTTCTGGCCATCGAGTGAAACGGTCTACGCAGGTTAAGAGGTAAGAGTATCCATTTGAATCTGGTAAAGGTCCTACCAAATCCAGATGAACATGGTCGAAACGAGCATCGGGAGTTTTGAATGAGCCTAAGGAACATTTATTGTGTCTGATAACCTTAGATTTTTGGCAGCTTACACAGGAGCGTGCCCACTCCCTCACGTCTTTATTCATGCCAGGCCAGCAAAACGTTCTGCTATAAGCTTGATGGTTGCACGAACACCTGGATGAGAAAGTTTGTGCAATGTGTTGAAGACATTGAGTTGATAATGTTTCGGCACGATTGGGCGATCCCTACCTGTAAATGTGTCACAAAGTAAGGTTTCGTTACCTGTTCCCATCTGTTTGATGCATGGTTTAATTGTTGTGGACGACAACTCGTGCTGAAGATCATTGTCTTCTTTTTGAAGCTCGGCGAGTTTAAGAAGGTCGATTCCTTGCAAACTGTTTAAGGAAGTTATGCGAGACAAAGCGTCTGCAACTACATTGTTTGCTCCAGAAATATGTTGAATATCTGGAGTAAACTGCGAAATGTAGTTCAGTTGTCGAGACTCACGAGGTGAGTACTTGTCTGAAGGAGAGCTTAGAGAGTATGTAAGCGGTTTATGGTCAGTGAAAAGAGTGAATTCACGACCTCCGATGAACTGTTGAAAATGCCGTACAGCACAGTACATAGCTAAGAGTTCCCTACCTAATGTGCTGTACCTCGATTCGGTGTCTAGCAACCGTCTAGAGGAAGATGTCAATGGTTGCCAGGAGTTGTTAACCCATTGTTGTAAGACTCCTCCGATTGCTGAGTCGGATGCGTCTACTGCGATACTAATAGGTGCTCGGGTGTCCTGATGTGCGAGCATTGTTGCTTTAGCGATAAGTTCCTTGACTGTGGAGAATGCTTTTCGTGCGGTGTCGTCCAAATTAATGGATTTTGCATTTCCATGAAGTTGGTCGGTAAGAGGTTTCATAAGTAATGCGCATTTCGGTATGAATGGTCTATAGAAACTTTCGAAGCGGTTAAACGTGCGTAATTGCTTGACGATGGTCGGTTCTGGGTAATCCAGAATGGCCGCCACTTTGGTTCTAAGGGGTCGGATACCTTGAGCATTGATAGTGTGTCCCAGAAAGTCTAATGAGTCGGTTCCGAATTGGCATTTCTGAACGTTTACAGTAATGCCATTTTTTTGTAGTCGTTCGAAAACAAGATCCAGATGCTTGAGATGTGTTTCTCTGTCCGGACTTGCGATTAGACAGTCATCAACATACGCATGTACGAAGTTGAGACCTCGAAAAACGTCGTCTATGAATCTTTGGAATGTTTGAGCAGAGTTTCTTAGACCGAAACGCTGTTTCCGGTATGTCGTCAGTAGCCATAGGGATTTGGTTATACGCTTTAACCAAGTCGATTTTCGAAAAGACAGTTGTACCTTTCAAGGTAGCTGTCAAATCGTGAATGTGAGGCAACGGGTAACGATCGGGAATGGTTTTCGCGTTCAATCGCTGATAGTCACCAGTTGGACGCCAATCGTTGCTGTCCTTTTTAGGGACCACGTGCAACGGAGATGCATATGGGCTACTTGACGGTCGTATGATTCCTAAGTTTATCATATGGTCGAACTCGTTTTTCGCTAACCTTAGCTTTTCGGGAGCTAGTCGTCGTGCTTTAGAGAATACAGGTGGTCCTGTAGTCGTGATGTGATATGTAACGTTGCTGGTTACACACTGTAGTTTCGGTTGAGTTTGTTGTATCCCAGGGTACTTATCGAGTAGTGGCTGATGGAGTGGGTCTATCATATGTTTAATTGTGACTGGGGATAATTTGCAACCAGTAAAGGAAGTTACGCAAACGGATAAATTAGTGTTTCCGTCTACTAGCCTTCGTTTGCGCGTATCGATTATCAGATGATGTTGTAGAAGGTCCATACCAATGATTGGCATAGAAACATCTGCAACAACGAAGATCCAGTGAATGTGTTTGCCTAAACCCACGTTAAGGTAAACGTACCTTTTGCCATACGTAGCGATCGGTTTTCCGTTTGCCGCCTGTAAGTTTAGGGTCGATTCGTGAAATCGGTCGTTAGGATTTGCTGGGAGAACGCTATTTTCTGCGCCAATGTCGACGAGGTAGCGAACTCTCGTTGTCACATCTGTGACGTATAACAGACGGCTATGTTCGCCGGCTACGGTTGCCGTTAACGCGTGCCGGCTTGGAAGTTTCCCGAGTTGTTTTTCGAGTCAGTCGGTTTCGTGTTGGGAAAATTGCAGGGTTTTCTGCAATTTCTGGAAAACTTTCCTTACTGGTTATGATACCAGCACCAGTCGGGGTTATCTGTCTCTCGTGGTCTAGAGACAGATCGCTTACGTGACATGCTTCTACGTGGGGTGCGCAATCTCTTACGGTCGGTACGAAGACTAAGATAACGCGTGAGTGTGTGACATAACTCGGTTATATCATTCTGAGTCGTTTGAGGTTTTTCTTTGACTGAAAATACCTCGGTAGTAGATTTCGTAATTTCTAAAATGCGGTCGGCAGATGCAGCTAGCTCGTCTAAGGCGTTGTCCTGGAACGAGACCAGAACTGCTTGCACCTGTTGGGGAAGTTTTGACAAGAAGAGTTGTTTGAATAGACCTTCGTCGAAAGTTCTTGGGCTTATTACCTCTCTCATCCGTTGCAACATGTCCGTCGCAGAACCGTGTTGCAGGTCGATGTTATTGAAGAGTTGTTCTAACCTTTGTCGATCGGTTAGGTCTCCTCGTTTAAGAATCGAGCGTTTTAAGATTTCGTAAGGATCGTAAAAATCTTATTCATGAGGTGAAATGGGATGCCCTAGAACTTCAACATCAAGCAATTAGTTCAAATAAATCAGCCATTCCATATTTTAAGGAGTAGAACACAACAATAATGAATATGAATTTTTATGTCCAACAAATCTAAAAAGTAATTGTTTATTGGATTTTATTGGACAGTTGTACTAATGCGCGGCTGTTCGCATACTTGCTTCCCTATGTAAATTAATCCTCCCATTTGTTAAATATGTCTGCTTCTGCTGGGAATTTGGCATTGGTTTGGGATGACCTAAAAAGTGGTTTCGACGCTATATTCAGGCTGGAGACAATCAAAAGAAAAAGATACATGGAGCTTCATACTCATGTTTACAATTACTGTACATCAGTCGACCCGAAATCTCATGCAACCCCCAGTAGGAATGCTATAGAAACTGAACCTGGGGGGAAATTAGTAGGTTTTGAACTGTACAAAAAGTTGCGCAATTATTTAAAGGCTCATGTCCACTCCTTGAAGCTAGTAAATTACAATATTTTCCAGTCATTTCTTCTTTACAGAAAGGAAATAATCTAGTCGATGAGGAAACTCTTTCATATTTCGAAAAGGCTTGGACAGAATTCCGTTTTGCATCCAGAGTTCTGGATGGGGTTTGTAATTACTTGAATAGACATTGGGTTAAACGAGAATGTGAAGAGGGACGAAAGAATGTTTATGTCGTTTATACAGTACGTGATTCTTTTTATTGTAGTGAAGTATTTGAAGTTGTAGTACTAAGTGCATCATAAAAGATTTCATGGTTTTTCTTGATATTATATGCACTCAGAACAGTCAGTAATCCTCTACTTGTGGTTATCTATTCATCCAACCTTGGTGGCTTTCATGTATCGTAGTTCACTTAGATGTTATAATTAGTATTTGTTGTGTATCATGTCATTCCATCATCCACTCATTCCAGTATGAACTCCTGCAATCGTAATTCGTTTCCCTCTTTAGTTTATAAATGTCACCCACTTTGATAACAGTATATATAAGCTACTAAGATCAATGTTGGCTAGTGTTGGAGACGGTTGGAAGAAAGTTAGGGGCGACAAAACCAAAACGTGGCATCAGTGCTTGAAGTCACTAATTTCTGGTCTGAGCCATGTTGGTAGATGCAGACTACTTGGTTGGAGACTGTGTGACATGACTCAGAATCCATCACAATGGCATAGGTGTATACACTCTGTCTTCCCTTAAACCGTGTGATTAGAATTGCTTTTATCTTTCTTTCTACGAACGAATTCTTTCTTCCTGTACTATATCCTTATATGCAATCTTTCTTTTATATATTATTATCATTGAAGGGAATACCTCTATGAATTTGGTGTTCATCTTGTTGTGCTAATGAGGTATGGCAAATTGGACCGATGCACATATGTGCTTGGTCCTATTTTGTAGCTGAGTGGCCGACTGACTCTAATTTTCGAGATCGTGCCAAATATTTATTTCAGGTATAAGATTTCCTACCAAGTGTTTTTGTTACAGACAGGTTAAAAATTATGATCCCTTTAGTAACCTTTGGTGTATTTTGCCTGGTCCTAGTGATTTTACAGGTTTGTTTAGTAATGAGATTATTAGTGTTTAGGATGTTACCCTATCCAAATGTCATTTAGATGCTTCCGCAGGGTGTTTTCAGACTTTGTTAGTGCTATCTCTACCACGCATACTGTTTCATATGGTTAAGTTCTCCACTAAAACGTATAATGGTAGTCTGTGCATTTCTATCTCTGTATGGTTCTTACTCAGTCCCTTGCTCAATAATTATGACCTTTTTGGAATGATGGTCTCAAAAAATTTGTGTTCATCTGAATGACATTTAGTATATAGTGGATGCTTTGCTATTATTTGGCATAAGTAGTCATCCAGTCAATTACAATGTAGGACCACGTACATATGTGCATCGGTCCAATTTGCCATAACTCATTAGCACAACAAGATGAACACCAAATTCATAGAGGTAGTCCCTTCAATGATAATAATATATAAAAGAAAGATTGCATATAAGGATATAGTACAGGAAGAAAGAATTCGTTCGTAGAAAGAAAGATAAAAGCAATTCTAATCACACGGTTTAAGGGAAGACAGAGTGTATACACCTATGCCATTGTGATGGATTCTGAGTCATGTCACACAGTCTCCAACCAAGTAGTCTGCATCTACCAACATGGCTCAGACCAGAAATTAGTGACTTCAAGCACTGATGCCACGTTTTGGTTTTGTCGCCCCTAACTTTCTTCCAACCGTCTCCAACACTAGCCAACATTGATCTTAGTAGCTTATATATACTGTTATCAAAGTGGGTGACATTTATAACCGCTTACACGTCGGTGACGACTAATTTATTGGCCACCTAAGTATGCGTATTTACTGTGTGAGAGGTTTTTCGGTTAAAAATCTTATGTGTATACATGGGGAGACAACTTGCTCTTTAGGATATTCCGTTTTTGACTGAGACTGCAAGTTCGGGCTCCGCTACATCTGATGCGCCTTGGTTAGATGGGTAATGCTATCATGCCAGCTGGATGGCTGAAAGCGATGTCGATCAGTTATGTTGGTTACACCATTTGATTGTCATATTACAGTAAAATTGTCATATAGTAGACTTTATAGTCAAGTCAACCTGTTTATTTTAGAGTCTTGACTGTGTTGAACGATCATTCGTTCCTGAACTAGATACCTGAGTTCTATCGTAGTTCAGTATTTATTTATTTGGTATTTATTTAAGCGTATAAACATTGATACAAAGGATACCAAAATATATATGCGTGACAATAAAAGTGAGATTGTTAAGAGACATAGAAAAGGTAAGTATAATAATAATAATAATAAAAAGACGAATGAATTAATTTATAACAGTAAATAACATTAAGAATGACAATAATAATAGTAGCTATAGTGAAAGAAGTAGTTCATCTAAGGAAAATACAATCAGGATGGAATGTTCCTCTTATTTATATGAAGAAAGTAAAAGAAAGCTACAATAGGATCCCCACTGGCTTGTATTCTAAGCCATGTCGGGTAACACCTCAAGCTACTCAGGGAATTGTACAGGACTAACAGATGCCAGTCCTGTGCAGTTTTTTTCTATAGCACAGAGCCACGTCATAAGCTGACTACCTATCCACTCTTTCCAGTCAATCCCAGATTCGGTAAATAATGCATGAGTCGCTTAACATCCTCAACTTGAACAGGTTAGGTTTCACAAGTATTGGACAAAATTGCTCTCACTGACGCGCTGTAGATCCAACCTTTACCAGCTAGGGTGGCATCACGAAGGCGTCAAAGATGGCCCGAATTGGTATAAACCGCTCTGTTTTTCACTGTGATTTAATATTACCAGTCACGCCATCACCAGCACCTATACAACTACCCAGATACATGAACTCGACTATTATCTGCTCATCACCAAGAGTAAATGCAGGTAGTGCCCTACCAGGCTGAGAAAACTACTTTGCACTTAGAAGGTACAAAGCACATGCCATACCTACGGACACTAATTGCCAACTAAGTGCCGGTTTCGTGGTTTGATTATTATCTCACAATAAGATATCATCCGCATGCTCAAGGTCGGAATACATTTCTCCAGATAACAAATCCTCACCACTATTACCTAGACCCGTATGAGCTGTTACCAGAACGTCGTCAGCAGCTAAGTTGAAAAGGAATGATGATAATGGGCAACCCTACGTGACCCCAGTGTTTGAATGAAGCAGCGAAGAGAGATGGTTGTATTCCCCTACTCTGTTTGAAGTATTTGTATATAAGGCCTTCAAGATGTTAATAATCCTCTCTAGGACACCCTTTTTCAATAGACAATCCTAGAGAACAGTCCTGTTAAAGAAATCGAAGCGGGCCTGATATCAAGAAATGCAACGATTGTTGACCTGCAATACCTATGGTGGTGTTCTAACATTTAGCGAAGGGTGAAAATATGACCAATGCATCTTCGATCAGAACGAAAACCAGTCTGATCCTCACAAGTCAATCTTTCAGGAGTTTTGGACCATCTGCGAAGTATGTCGGTAGTAATTTGAGCGCAATCGGAAGTAAACTTATCCGGCGATAGCTTTTGCATAGGTGACGTAAACTCTTTTTATTGATAGGGGCGACTATCAACCTATTTCATAGTGTTGAAACACTCAGTTTACTGGTTTACTGTTTGGTACACCGTTCATGAATTAGCTTTGCTTTATTGACAACTGTTCCTATTCAGCCAACATACTTATCGACTTGCTGTTCATAAAAAAGCTTGTTTGGAAATTCATTTTTTTGGTTTATTTTTCTGCTTAATTGACATTTTATGTCTTTATCGTTTAAAGACCTCGTAATCATACATTTTCGTGTTTTTTGGAAAAAATTAGTTGTCAGCTCTGAAGAGGTAAACATTGAGCTTTCATATGAAGACTTAAATGACCGTTCGATTTTCTAAAGAACAAATGTATTTCATCACTTTCTGCATATTTAGTATTAAAGACGTAACAAACAAATATTTCGCAAACTTCTGTTTATTGTAGCTTGCACTGATAACATGGCGCGAACATTTACTAAAACCTCACGCTAGGGTTTTAATCAGCGCAATTCTTCGTGAGATCGAACGTGAACGACGTGGAGAAATTTTATCTACCTTACGACTAAGAAAGATTATTGAGTGCCTGGTTGAGTTGGGTATTACGTCTGACCAACAGTCTTTCTCAACATCTACGTTAACTGGAACTGCTTCATCACCTAGTGAACCCTTGCCATATCTAATGAAACCTTTTAAATCTCCTAATTTTCCCCCTAAACCTAGTGGTTCTACTTTAAAACCAAATAAGTCTGAAGTGGTAAGTACTTTGAGTTACTGTTTGCATATTAATGTTCAATTCTCATAACCCTACCTATCTACTCATCATCGCTCGTCTCTCAGTTTATTGTAAACAAGTTAGCATCGAACTATCTAGTTATTTACTTATCTAACGTTTTAGATGGAGACTATGTTTTTCAATCTATATTTTGTCACACAATCAGTGGTGTCACTATCGAGTACTAGATTACTTTTTTGTTTTTATTTCAACACATAGATAATGGTACAGAGGCACCAAATACATGTGCGCCACACAAATCTCATTCGATATATGTGAGGGCTATGATACTGCCCGGGTGCCCAGACCGAAGCAGGTGGTTTTCTTAAGGGGCCACTCCCCGAGCCTTTGGCCTAATGGTCTGATCCACAAGGTGATGGAGCATCGTAAGGAGATGCAGTCCCATGGAAGCCGGTGACCAGCAATTGGTTCATATGCCATTTGTTCCCGCAGGATACTGGAGCCCATGTGCACCATTGGTTTTGAATCCGGTTAAAGCGCCGGACATTCGCTTTTCGTCCTCTCATTTTCGTAAACAACACCCCCGTGGTGAGAGAAGGCAGTGAGTAGGACTTCCCTGGTAGAGGCTATATACGCGTGGCCGTGTGAGAGCATTTCGAGAGGGAGAGTGGACTCTCCCCACTCTCGGCCGTACCAGGGCATTTGGGGGCACTAGATTACTAGATTATAGTGATAGGTTTCCTTAGGTTTTACTATTTCAGACTAACTTGATGAGATTTCAAGGGATAAAATATACAGGACGATAAATAAAATAGTTCTCAGCTTTCATAGTGAACACGTAGGAGACAGCACTGTGGGTTCTCAAGTGAAGTTTTTACAACTGTGGTTAAGCTAATATTTCACATAACCATCTGTTGATGTTCTCTTTGGTGTTAGTGACATTTCTTAGGTTAGTTTCAAATGATAGACATGTCAACCTTATATATTCAAATGATCTCACGAAATTTTTCAAGGAATATATAAGGTTGACATGTCTCTACCTCCTGATACTTTATTACCTACTTTTATCTGTTAGTTCGTATATGAAAAAAATAATCAGAAATCGATCCACTCTGCGTGAGTCCTTTGAATCTTTTATGTAGCATTAATTCTTAGTGAAATTTTTTCTGCATCATTCATTGCTTACTAGGTAACTTTTGTTCACAGTAAAATATGGAGTGGTACATGCTAAGCAATAGCATCATGGCTTGTAAATATCAAGAATGATGGTTGTATTTGTACATATGAGTAAACAATTGATTATTCGAAGAAAAAATATCTTAATGCTCATACTAATGTCGCTGGGAAGCAAATAACATCATATCTTGTCCTTAGTGTTCTGATCGAGGTGTATTGAAAAGATTAATATTACTTACTCCATTTATTTACACGGATAATTGTGTATGATAAGAACATAAATTTAGATTTTATATCTATCAACTATGGTACAGTGTTTATAAGTTCAACTATATTAATTGGACTAATAATTTGTTCGTTAACGGTGTAGTGATTCATCATAATTCTTATTGTTGGAAGTGTTTAGTTATCCAAGTTATGTCTTATCATATATATATTTCCCCTTAAGTTAACGTATTTTGAAATACTTTGGTTTTTTTTTTGTTAGGAATCCAGCTTGCAGGGTACATCAAATAAAACCACCCCAAATTTCCGAGGTCCACTTCATTCCGGAGATCCAGTGGATGAATCGACTCCCAATACTCCTAGTGCGACATCATCATTGACATCGGACACGCGAACCAATCTATCAGTTTATCAGGAATACTTTGAACGACCATTTTTGACTGAAACTGAACGGTATTACCGATTAGAAAGTGCTCAGTTTTTGCAGTCAAACACAGTACCCGAATACCTTCAAAAAGCAAGTCACATGTGTATTTACATACGATATTATGATAAATTATATATTCATTTCTAGTCAGTATATTCGCATTCTGAATAAAATAAAGACTTAAATAAAATAAAGATTTTAGTAGCAGACTAATCTTCTCCATATTTCCTGACTTTAATGGTTGCATAACTTTATGTGAATAAATGAAGTGGTCAACTTATTTCTAAGTAGGTATCGCATCAAGCTAGTTCTGCATCATTATTAGTTGCAGACACTTGTTTCGACCTGCGTACATGTTTGGTCTAAGTAAGTATTACAAGACAATCGGCTAACTTCTAACCATTCACTTCGGCGATATTTTATAGCCAAACGATTTATTTCTTAAACTTCGTAAAAATAGTGGTAGGTGCCGCAACAGTGCCTGAACCTCTTGCTAATAAAAATAATTCTTTGCAAATATAGTTGTAGGGGATAACCAATGTTAATAATTAAGTGGATTAGAAGTCCAAATTATCCTTCAAGATAATTGTAGTTGATTTAGTATACCTGAATCTGCGTTACTGTAGTGATTGTTGTTTGACCTTGCATATTGTTTGGTAGCTTATGGTAAGACTAATCTTTCACATTGTCCGGGTTTAAACCAATGATTACTTGAATGATTGACTGATATTGGCATGTCTATTAGTTTTGTTACGTAGATGTTTACAGATGTTCATTCCGACATTCAGCTAGTGGAAAAGCAAAGTAGTAAGAAATAACATTAACATTAGTGGGCAACTAAATATAAGAAGTCCTTTTTATTAAACAGTGCACAGAGACTGTGTTTTAAAACACATTTCTGGAAAATGTTATGTACAGATTTGCATCATTTTTTAAACAATTAGATATGAATTAAGTCAAGAGAACCTAGTTAAACAGACGAAACTATGAGAATGGAGTAAGTTTTGTTAATCTAAAAGGATGTGTATGCTGTTGTGAATATGCGGTCAAGTGTCAGTTCCACACTACCCACATTAAATTGTTAATTATCTTAGAAAGATACTTTACCGTTGAGATAACTAGGTTAAACTAACAGTATAACATTTTTTTATGGATCACTACAATTGCTGGTTTTATTAATTCCACTGACCAACTAATTTTCTTGTCAAGATAAAAACCTTGTGCAACATGTCTTATAACTGTGTTTAATCTCATGAATCATGAAACTAAACGTCATCATAGTTTTTCAACGATAACCATTTAAGATTAATATTGCTTATAGTCACCTCTGCCATTGGATAATTATTGAATATTTAGTATTTTGTATTTATGCTTAAATTGTGCTGAATCTTTTACTATTTATAATTTAGTTTTGAAATTACATTCATTTATAGGTGGAAACACGATTAAATGAAGAACGTATTCGTGTTCAAACTTATCTACATATAAGTACACTTCCCAAATTAATTAGATCTTGTGAACATTATCTAATTGGTGAACATATAGATCGGTTAACATCTGTCTTCTCAGATCTTTTCAATGAAGATAGAGAGGAAGGTGAGTTTAAAAAAATTTGTTTTACTGATTAGTTTATTGTTTAATTGAATATCACAAGAACGTTAACAGTTTACTTACATTTATGTGCATATTTTTGTGCATGTATTCATAACTGAACATAAAACACAGTGTCTGAGACTTAATTCTTCAGACTAATAATAAGATAAGGTTATTTAAAACTCCCCTAAATGAATTTATATCCGACACAACACAGCATGTAACAATCGAATCACAATTGACGAAGAAGATTTGGAAGATGTAAAAAGTTTAACAGCATCATTGATGAGCACAGTGGATTTGATGCAGATGTGAAGGCGCGGATCGGCAAAGCAAGAGCAGCATATTTACAACTGAAGAACATCTGGAACTCAAAACAGTTTTCAACCAACACCAAGGTCAGTATTTTCAATGCAAATGTCAGAACAGTTCTACTATATGGGGCGGAAACATGGAGAACGACGAAAACCATCATCCAGATAATACAAGTGTGTATTAACAGTTGCCTACGCAAAATAATTCAGATCCGTTGGTCAGACACTATCAGCAACAACCTTTTATGGGAGAGGACAAACCAGATTCCAGAGGAGGAATAAATCAGCAAGAAGCACTGGAAGTGCATAGAACAGACACATATTGAGGAATACACCCAACTGCATCACAAGGCAAGTCCTCACATGGAATCCTCAAGGCCAAAGGAGGAGAAGAGGAAGACCAATGAACACAATACGTCGAGAAATGGAGACAGACATGAGAAAAATGAACAAAAATTTTACAAAACTAAAAAGGAAGCCCCAGGACAGAGTGAGTTAGAGAATGCTGGTTGGTGGCCTATGCTCCATTGGGAGTAACAGGCGTAAGTTAGTAACTGAATTTTTCGCGTACACTTGTTTGAAATTTAAAGTGAATTTAAAAATCCTACACTTATGCACTACAGTTTCCTAGAGATTGGAAAAAAATCTCATATGATTGTTTCTAAACTAATAATAATTAGACTCATTTTGGTTTTGCAATGTTGCACATTGCATTATTTAAATGTTCTAAAACTTTTAGAATTATTCAACTCCTTAAACCAACAGATAATTGTTAAAATAGAATAGAAATATTCACAATTGATTGATCACTGGGTGGTGATCAATCTCATGCTTGTCTAGTCCTTATTAGTGCAGATCGAATGCTATCGATCATGTTGCAATGTGGCCACCAGTCTAGGTGACTCGACACTGCGGGCACTATGTATTGAGATTTAGATGGTGGTTGGAGGTAGTCAACAGTGGTAACGTCTCTGACTGTGAAGCTAGGTGACACGATATCGAATCCGCCAGGGAGCACCAGTTCCCTCAAGATTACAGGTACACCTTGCTGACGAGTGCCAAGTAGCACGAAATCCGGGTCCAGGGTTTCCTGTTGACTACCTCCAACCAACATCTAATAGAAATATTATTTAGCATTTAGATAGGTGTCATTACTATGTCTATTTGTCAGTTTAGAAATACACCGATTCGATACTCGAATGGAAGATGCACTTTGATTAATGTTGTATAGTTAAAAACGATTTTAAAAAAAAGCCCCGTATACATAATTGACTAGCTTATTGCGACTCATTAACCCGGGATATTGGTACATTTAAAAAAGCTGGTTATCCTCTTGAGATTTAGAGACTTATCCGTGTGTACAGCTGTTGGTTAATTTTATGGTAATTTTCTAGTTATGCTTAGAAAAAAAGATTCAGTGTAACTGTTACTCGACGGTCTTTTGATAGATGTTTACCTTTGCTGATAACAACCTTTAACTGTCTTCGAATATAGAAATTTTTTGATGATAAGTAAAGAAAGCCAATAATTTGAATGTTTGTGATATATCCCAACGTGAATCATAAATGGTAAGTGTTGGGATCTATTAATGGACAAATATTATACCTATATTTTATTGTATAATTGTTAAGCAACTTAACTATACATATTTGTAAAGTTAGCTGTAAATTGTTAGCATATATCTATGAGATTCTGATAGTTTATTACTGTTCCAAAGATCCCCTCATTTATAATTAGGAAAAGTTTCATCCCCACATATTTTTCCTTTATCAGTTACCTGTGTTTTTTTTAATATCCCATCTCTGCACTCATAATTAATTTACGATATTATGAAATTTTATTGTAATATTTAGATATATGGAGAATGTATCGCTTAGTTGGTCATTTTCCTAGTGGAATACGTGTTCTGGTCTCTGTCATGGAAGATCATGTTGCTGATAAAGGATGGGAAGCTATCCGTCAAGTGGCTGAAGCTGCTTTAAATGTGAGTTGATGTTTATTCACTTTTGTTTTGCTTTTCATATCTTTTTACCACACATTGACAATCAGTGAAAAGATTTCTCTTAAGCATTTTTTGTTGATGGAAATGGACTTATGCATCGATCAAACAAAAAACTTAATTGTCTGTTAATACTATGAAATAAAAGCTTCAGTTTCCTTGTTTATTATTATTGATCACTAGTGTTAAAAGCATTTTGGATCAGAAAGCTTATACCATCACATAATCGAGACATTTGATAGGCTTTACACGGCTATACATTTTTCTCAATTTTACTTCGGGTTTATTTGAATTTTTAGGATCCCAAATTGTATATTGATACAATATTAAAAGTTCATCAAAAACATTATAATCTTGTATTATCCGCCTTCGCTTGGGATCCTGCATTTTCACGTGCCTTAGATAAAGGGTGTGAACGTTTTATAAATCGTAATGCTGTCACTGAATTAGCTGGAAATCAAAGAAAATCCCCTGAACTTTTAGCTAAATATGCAGATTTCTTATTAAAGAAAAGGTTAGTTTATTATTATGAATTAATGTTTTAAATTATATCTCCTAAATTTTCAAGCCTTAGTTGTGTTCATGATCATTTTTTAAATATTACTACTGAATTGTATTTTGTAGCTCGGTATTGATATTTATAATCACAAGATTTGTTATGAGCCTTTAAGTATATTGGCCTCCTTTTTTGCTTAGCTAAAAAAATGCAATCATTTACACCTGTTACTTCTTGTGGAAGGGTATAGGCCGTCTGGCAGCACTCTCCATCCAACTCTATCCTGGACAATCCTTTCCAGTTGTTATTTGTCCTTTTGATATCTGCTTCCGATTCCCGATGCGGTGTGTTCTATTGTCTGAATACATATGCGCCACACATGTCGCTTGATTTGTGTGTGGGCTGTGATACTGCCATCCTCTTTGGACAGCATTAGAGCAACTTCCTGAGTGTGCGAGATATTTTCTTCTTCATGACCAGAGTACGGCAGCATCTCTCCCGAATTTATCCTTTTCTGTTCAGCTTGGGTTCAATGCGTTTCACTGATTCTGTCAAACTCTATAATTGCTTGATCAGCACTTAACTTAGTGAATAATATGAGGATTTAGTTGGTTTAATTGTTCAGTCGTAAAGTTCAGAACACCAGAAACCATTTTGTATTATATATATATATATATATATATATATATATATTAAAGCACTTGAATTTTAACTAACAGGTAACAAGTTCAAACTACGCTCTACTTATTTCATGTTGAGCAACCAGATAGTATCACAAGGTTTCTTACAGTTGATGTGACGTAAAACGGAATATAATACCATGTAAACAAAATATTAATCTACTAACTCATTCACCATATCTTGAGTGCTGTTAGAGGTATGAGGGCAGTTCTCACTTCCCGGTTGCCCACACCGTGGAAGGGTTCTTCTGGAGGTACCTGGAAAGGAAATTGGATTAGAGCTGGTCTTAGTGACCTAAGAGCGTGACCGCAGTGCCCAAGAGACAACTGCTTGAGGTCGGCCACACACGACCTTGTTATGGGTAATTTTTGTGTTAGCTCCGTACTTATTGAGACCTTACCGCCGGAGACGGATATCCGTGGGATAAGGCGAGGTGTGCATTTTTAGGGTCGACCTTTTCTAACCCCACCCCTCCTTGTGGGAAGGCAGCATCGCTGTCATGCTGGTTGTCTGAAGGAAACACCTTACTGCTGTCACACCTCTGTACAGTCAGCAGTACGACTTCACCTTCGGACCTTGGGTTTGTTGCTTTTAGTCTTACCGCTCTTCAACTGGCCTGTCTGACATGGTAGGACCTTGAGGAACGGTTGTTCCAGCCAATATAGCTCGGTTACTTCATCACGATAGGCAAGCCCGACCACCACGTCAAGGTGGCAACAACGGTTGGGCATTCGCCAGGTACTTGGGTATGGCCCGCATTCTCAATGTAAAGGCTAAGGATACAACCCGGTTACCCAAAAAGAAATAGACGGATGAATTTTGAATACGGGAATTAGTTGCTGGAAACTGAACGCTGTAATCACTAAGCCACCATTACGTATATTCGGTAAATTATTTGAATTTCAAACTTTTTATTAGTTATAAATTATTAGTCGTACAACAACTCGAACTTTTTTATATACTCAGGCTCCAGACATCCTTATCTTGTTGCGATGACTAATTTTTGGTGCAATAAATCAGTGGACATTTCGTACTACAGTTAGCTATTACAATTATCCTGCTTTCAGTTTGGTAATTGATATTTATGATTTTAGATATTGATCAGTTATGTGTAAATTCTTCGTTTTTGGAGTATAAGGCATTTGATCGATTTCTAACCAAGTTATGATTACAAGTATTTGTTGCGTTTCTCCAAATCGAGGATTAAAACTAGTCATAGTAGCTAGAGATAATCTGGTTATGTTATTTCGCACTTTCCTGTCAGTTTTATTACTGAGTGCTTTCATAAGAGTCCGTATATATATGTATGTATATTGGCTATGTTCTAACTATTTAGTGCTTCTTTCTTCCTTTTTCAGTGCAAAAGATATTCAATTGGATGATTTAGAAGAAACACTTGGACAAGTAGTGAGTATTTCAATATTTTTTCAATTATTTTTCCGTGTCACCTAACTGATACAGACTGCATAATTCTTCTTTCTTCTTCTGTTTATAAAATTATCTCAATTGTATTGAAAAGTCTATCAGTACAAATTATTTACAAATGAAATGACCATAAAATCTCTTCGAAGTGTTTTGTTTTTAAGGTTTGGAATTATATCAGTAGTGTTGATAATATTTTCTACATTATTTCAAAGCATGTACTTAATGTCTCTTAGTTTGTATCATTCAATCAATTGTTCTTTGTATATGAATTTGTGCTAATCTGCAGTGAAAATACCCACGATATACCTTTTAACGCCTCTCATTCTTCGCTCCCTGTCATTATGTAGTTTTGCTTATTTGTTCTGGTTAATCATTTTAGATGAATGTGTTCCGCTATATTGAAGATAAAGATGTCTTTCAAAAATTCTATAGTAAAACACTGGCTCGCCGTTTAGTTTATAATCAATCTGTATCCGAGGATGCTGAAGCTTCTATGATTTCTAAATTAAAAGAAGCTTGCGGTTTTGAATACACCGCGAAATTACAACGGATGTTTCAAGATGTTAATGCTACTAGAGAATTGAATGCGAAATTTTCAGATTATTTACAAAAACAAGAAGAAGCCAATGGAAGCACAATTAAAGGAAGTAAGTTTTATGTATATATCAAACTTTTATAGCTTTAACTATTCAAGAAGATGATTTTTCTTCTTTGGTTCGGCTTTCTGAAAAAAGTTTATTGTAAAGTTGAAATTCTCAGTTTCGTCTTGGTGTCTCGTTTCAAAGTTTCTTGTTAACCTGTTTATATATGTTGATTTGTAACTTTCGTCTGTGAACCAGTGAGAAGTGTTTCCATAGCCTTTATTTTTAAAAGTTTTATCACCTAGATGTTTGTGAAACTGTCGGAGCATTTATTTAAACTCTAAGGTGTGATGCATCTGGTTCCTTCTTGTGTCAATATTTATGTTCAAATAAAATAAGAAGAATGTATTTAAGAGTAAGTTACCAAAAATCCGTATACTCCGACTCATCCAAATAACAAAGCAACTTTCATACCATAAAATAGTCCATAACTATGATTGTTAAGGTAGTAGGTTTGACATGTTTCTTTAAATCTTTCCCGATTTCCTACCTAAAATAGCCTACTGATTATCTTATTTTTAGTCACTTTTATTATTCATACTGGTTGTTATGCTAAGCATAAACTAATTTATTATATTTATTATTTTTTTTTATATTTAAACACATAAACATTGGTACAAGGAGGCACCAAATACATATGCGCCACATAAATCATTCGATTTTTGTGAGGGCTATGATACTGCCCGGGTGCCCAGACCGAAGCAGGTGGTTTTCTTAGGGGGCCACACCCCGAGCCTTGGACCTAAAGGTCTGACCCACAAGGTGATGGAGCATCGTAAGGAGATGCAGTCCGATGGTAGCCGGTGACCAACAATTAGTTCATACGCCATTTGTTCCATCAGGATACTGGAGCCCATGTGCACTATTGATTTGGTTTGGAATCCGGTTAAAGAGCCGGACATTCGTTTTTCGTCCTCTCGATTTCTTAAACAACACCCCCACCACAAGAATGCAGTGAGTAGGACTTCCCTGGTAGAGGCTGTATACGCGTGGCCGTGTGAGAGCATTTCGAGAGGGAGGGCGGGCCCACCCCACTCTCGGACATATCAGGGCATTTGGGGGCAATTTATTATAGGTGATAAATCTCACGAGCATTTAGTCAGTAATCTATAGTCTTCTTTTTGAACAAATGGGAGGTTCATTCAAATATGAAGCTTTGTGTTAATTGTTTTTTTCTCTTTATTATTTCATGGAAAAGATACTTTTCAATACTTAATACAGGATATTACTTTCCTTTTGTTCACTTTCTATTTATCCATCCATCCTTTTTTCTTTTTCAAATAATAGTATAAAGGTTAACACATTGATTTTTTATCTTAGTTCACCTTAAATCATTAAATTTGCATTCTAGGTAAGTATATGATAGTTTTTTCTTATTATTCCGCCTCAGAAATAGAAAACTTTTTCTTCGCATGTTAGTGAACATGGGAAGTAGAAACAATTTCAATTAAAATTGTATTATAATATAGTTTGTTTTTATTGTTATTATACACAATCGGTATAAACATCACATACTGACAGTTAAATGTTAAGCTGTTTAAACATCTGATATCATCCAACTGGTTTCCTTGTTAAAACTTGACTAATTAAGAAAGGTTAAAAGAAGGAAAAAGAGAGAAAGAAAGAGAAATCAATAGGTAACTTTACAAATTCACGATAAACTGGTATTATAATACGATGTTGTTGTCATAATAAATAAGTCCCTGGACGCTAGATATTATGATAATTTCAACATGCCATTAGTAAATAAGGGGTTAGAATGGTTGACTAACTGTTGGGATTGATAAATGTTTCAGTCAGTTATTTGTTCTGAGTCATATTTGGAACATAGACATAATTAACGACTTCTGTGACTAGAAGGTGATGTTTGACTTCATCTGTCCTAGGGGTCTCATGATAATTTGTTTCACTGATAGTCGTACCAAAGCTGTAGTTCATCAGATTATTAATTATATTGTAGTGACTTGAATATTCCAGCCTTTAGCCGGTCAACCAACATTGACATGGGATCTTGCACAAATGTTTGTCACACCGAGTCACCATACTTTATATCTGCGCTGGAAGGTAGTAAATCAAAAGATGATAAATGCAGCAAGTAAATTAATCTGAACTGTGATCAAAGATCTATACATAAGATACGTATGTAGTATATTCTACTAATGCTGTCAAATATAAGTAGTATGTAGCCTCAACCGGAAGTGGAACGCCTGGCAGCAGAAGATTGAATTGAAGAGAATAAAAAGGAAATGAGAGAGGAATCAAAATAACGACAGAAGTAGAGGAATAATCGAGTATGTAAAGGGCAACGCAAAGATGCTCAAATGATGTATTTAATATATATATATATATATATATATATATATATATATATATATATATATATATATATATAACTTTTCATTAAACAATAAATTGATTTTCCCCACATGAGTTCTCGTTCACTACACGTATACATGAGCTCAATAGGATCACATGCAACTGAATCATGAGTTCATGAATAGCAATTGATTTAATATTTCAGGGAGAAAACATGTCACTAACAATTAGACTGAGCCATTTTAGTAGGTGCGGATTACCTGGTTGAATTTCACTTGATTATCATAATGACCTGAGATTTTGAATGCAATGACTCAAATCTGTTCGCAGTAGGGTAGGTGAATTCACTCGTTGTTTTCCCTTAGGACTCGAGTCGTAAAATCTTGTACTTTTTTATTTATTTAATTTTTTCATTACTATTGATACTGTTACCACTTATACTATTCTGGGATTTGTTTTGATAATTTGATTTCGACGGGTTAATGTGCTAACGACGGCTTAAACTAATGCAAATATACATAGATATATATGGACACAACTCAGTGACTGACTAAAACAGTTTGAGCTTTCCAACATGACTCAAACGAGAATTCAGTGATTTCATTGATTAGTTCTATGCCTTGATCTTGTCATTGTTACCTTTATTCCAATTAACAATTTTATTATTCACTATTCCACGTCACGGTCGGTGTGTCTTTGATGTACATGGCTGAATGTGTCAATATCGCCTATTAGATGTATACAGGCTGGTAACTTCATAATTTAAACATTCGACTGTTAATCTTAATGTCTGTGGTTCGAAACCCACTCAAAATATTTTGGTTTGTTCAGCTGACTGGAATCACATGGTGGTTTAAAACTGGATCCCAAAACTGAACTAGATTTCTCTACCTCATTATTTAGAATAATTCAGCTCAACAAGTAACATTACTAATAAAATATAAACACATCCAACTGACATTTTCCCAATAGTATGCAACATGAATGTTAAGTTGCAATTTTTGGTACTATAAAATAAAGTATGTGAAGTAACCAGTGTAAATTCGTTCCTACTTCAGTAGCCACAAAGTGTAGTCGTTTTTGCAGTTCGTCTAGCACGTCCTTTTTGAGTGAATTATGTACTCATCCAGAAGAAATATACAAAAATCTTTCTAATACTTATCCTTTTTGTGTAAATAACCTCTGTAAGTATCTTAATTGATGTGCAATTACTTTGTTTTCACTTTAAAAAGTCAAATATATCGTGTAATTAAATGTTTAGATGTTATCAAACCTTTCGCTGGAGAGATGATATGATTCGATCATCTTTTTCTGTCTTTTAAACATGATACTGTCCATATATATATTTATAAGTAGTGTCATGTTATATATCATCTACTCGCACACACACTATGCAAGTCATACATATTTCATTATATACTTTATTTAATAATAGTAGCCACCCTAGTAACATTCCATTTAATCACATGGGCACATGATGTCTGATGTAATTTGAAAAAAAAATCATATGATTTTCTCGTATTACACAATAGCTTTACTTCCCTAGAGAAATTTGTTTGTTTGTTATTTAAATTTAGTGCGTTCTTTTTGTTTAACTATGTGTTGACCATGTGTATTTATTTGATATCCTATATAAAAATAACTAACTAGTGTATATTATACGATGTATTGTATCATAGAATAAGTTTTCAATATGATTTTTTTTATTGATCACATCTAGGGAGTTGAATTTACACTAAGCGTTAAAATTCAATTATCATATTTATATAGATATATGCAACAGAACAGAATTCTAACCTACACAGTGTTTGAAAGTTGAATCATTCACTCAGTCATGACAACAATTCTAATGTCCATTAATTTATTTTCACAGTTGAATTCATGAGTCGATCTAAGCTAGACACCACATTTGGGAACCTGGAAGCACTGGACAATGGTTTCGTTCTAGTATGAGACTCTTCATCAGTGCGTATCCACGATTCCACACTCGGGACTTGAACCCAGGACTTTCGGTCTCGAACGCAAGCGCGTAAACTTTAAACCATTGAGCAGGCATCCGATGCTGTTAATGTTTAAATTTAATTGATCCATAATCTTGCTCAACCCTTTTTGCATTGTTTGAGGTGGATAACTCGCACAACCGACACGAATTGGTGTTTCTATTTAAAATTTAATATTAAGAATCACTTTAATCACTGAAATGTATTATGATTAACCATGTTAACTCAATCTTCAACCAGTTTGTCATAGATTTGTATCCTCCTTGAACAAGTTCATATGAAAAATTGTGATTTAACGCAAGCGCATAAATTTCTTTTTTGATACGCTGTCATTTAAATAAACATCTATTTTTTGGTAATATGCTTACCTATTTTGTTATGAATTCCTTGAAGTACTTTCCTATAACATTTGGAAAGATAGTTTGTTTTGTATACACCATTAAGCATGAACTTCATCATTGACTACAAATATTATGTATGGTATCTTTCTTTGTGTAACTTTGCTTCCTTTGATTGCATCATCATGCTATAGTCATACACCTTTCGATTTTCTACATATCATACATATTGATTTCATTACATTGATCTGGATCTATTTTTCATATTGTTATTATAGAAGTGTTTGAAGAGTTTAACAACGATATTGATGACAACGGTTCATAATATTGTACGCTTAACTGATGATTGTTCACACAAGACAATAGGCTAATGACTCGATCACAGTCAAACAAACTGATTTGAAAACATAATTCAACTACCCGACTGAATAGATTTTCATTTAGTGCATTAAAATGTCCACACATTGAATAAATAAGAGATAAAGGATTTGCTGATCTGTTGTCTGCCAATCACTTACATTCTTACGCCTATAACTCCCAGTGAAGCATAGGCCACCGTCCAGCATTTTCTAACTCACTCTGTCCTGGGGCTTCCTTTTTAGTTTTGTAAAATTTTTGTTCATTTTTCTCATGTCTGTCTCCATTTCTCGACGTATTGTGTTCATTGGTCTTCCTCTTCTCCTCCTTTGGCCTTGAGGATTCCATGTGAGGACTTGCCTTGTGATGCAGTTGGGTGTATTCCTCAATATGTGTCTGTTCTATGCACTTCCAGTGCTTCTTGCTGATTTATTCCTCCTTTGGAATCTGGTTTGTCCTCTCCCACAACGGGTTGTTGCTGATAATGTCTGACCAACGGATCTGAATTATTTTGCGTAGTCAACTGTTAGTAAACACTTGTATCTTGTGGATGATGGCTTTCGTCGTTCTCCATGTTTCCACCCCATATAGTAGAACTGTTTTGACATTTGTATTGAAAATTTTGACCCACTGCTACTGAATCTACTGCTACACTAGTCACTTGCCAATCACAATAAGATCTAACTATATAATATAATTTTTGACTATCATATAATTTATAAATAGTTTTCTTATTTTCTTATTTTATCATGATCAATCTAGATAGAGATGCTTAGTAATGTTTTAATATTTGTAAATATTTCATTTATGTTTGTGTAGCTGATTTTAATATCATGATTCTTAGTTCAAACGCATGGCCATTTCAAGCTCAAGGACCTTTTTCTATTCCTCCTGAAGTAAGTTATTGACTACTGTTTAAATACTATGATTCTTCTTTTTTTGTTGAAAATTTATCGATGTATTGAATTCGTGAAGTTGGATGAGAAACTCTTAGTTAAATTGTTTGTCATTTTAGAAATGTCAGTTTAATTATTCCTATTTTTTGAGGTTTCAGCAGTTTTTTCTCATACGGTCTTCTTAACTGCTTCTTAGTCTCCAAAAATCTACTGTTGGATCCTTAGTGTGGAAGGTAATAAAGAAACTTTTCTTCAAAGAAGATATTGTCCATAGAGAATAAAGTTATTGATTTTAGTATACGTGGCCTGAGGATAGTAGAAACCTCTATAAAAATATGTGACATGGATAACAATATCGGCTACTGAGGACTATCGAAGTATCCAAACACACTTTCTTAATATGTTCGATCAGAAAATATTTGAAATCAATCATTTTTCAGTTACTCATACTCATATTGCCCAGTAGTATATCGAACAGTGATTTACAGTCATTCACTGAACAATCATGTTCACATTTCAAATAAACCATCATAGTGTGATGAAAAATGTGTTTACTTATTTTCAAATATAGTAGTAGTAGAAGTTACACTTTCAATTCTTTCAATTCACTTTCATGTGTTTTTGAGATAAAACTATAATTTATGGACGACCTTTGAACGACACTGAAGTGACCTTGATAGTGCCTACCTACTTACCATGGCTAAATGAGGTTTATAAAGCAGTTTAAAGAATAAGGATTATGATTTACAGTTGACGGTTAGGGTTAGGACTTAGATTTAGGGTTTTCATTGCGAACTGACATAAGATACAATACCAAAACTCTATTTAGCCAGATGGGTGAATGAATTTCGCGCCAAAATTTCAGACCTGTTATCGTAGATCTGATTGGTTCGTCCATAAATTATAGTCTCTCCGTTTTTAAAATGATAAATTTCAGTCTTAGTATGCACCCCTCGCCTAATTACTTGAAAAATAAAATACATGCTTCCAATTTATAAGTTTGGTTTTGTTTCATAGTGTAAAAAGCACCAAACCCTGTATATCCTGCTTTCTTCAGTTCATGATATCCGCTTCGTCTTTTTTATTATCTTCAATTGAATTCTTTTTTTTTCTTTCTTCATTATAAAATCGAATCCTAGTTGGAACAATGTCACAATACATTTCTTGCTTTTTATCAAGAACATCATACTGGTCGTAAATTGACATGGTGTTATCATTTATCACGTGGTGAAGTTGTGACTAACTATACTAAAACTAGATATATATTTCAAGTATGTTTATGTTTATATATATATATATTTATTGGATAATGATTTGTTGATGAATCTTTTGTGAAATGGATTCAAAGGAATTTTTTAATGGTTACTCATTCCGTAATATGTTTGACTTCAATGATAAATAATTTTTTCACACCATAGTCAGTTAGTCAGTCAGTAACAACGTAGAACTTCGTACGTACGTACATCAGTTCGAGTTACCACACCACATTAGCACAGAGATGCAGTTGTCGATTCAAATCCCGTATTGGTAGAGGTAATAAGAGTATAAGCAGTAATCGGGAAGATCAGGGTTTGGAGTATTTGCTGAATTCGATAATATTGAGAGTTCATCATTTATGGTGTAAAGTTCCAAGAAATAGAATGATATTTGGAATTTTTTATATGTATAGTACGATAACCGTACTCAAAAAGACAAAAAAAGTGTTCACATGTGACAATCTAACCGACTTTAGGTCATATTGTTGTAACGGGTTGTGTCCAGTGTGCTACAGGCTCACCCCCTGACTGATTACTTAAACGAGAAAGTGTACTGAACAGTTTTGGCTTGACATCTTAGCTTTTAAGTTTGCAGAATATGGAAATGTTATATATATTTCATTTATTAAAATATTTTACGAAAAATTGTTGTGAAACCAGTCGCTTTGAGTTAGTTGTATATGATTTTACCACTTTTTTTTAAACAAAAGGTTTCAACGTACCAGATGTCTGTTTTAATGTTGTATAATTCATCATTAGTGTACACGGTGTCAGCTATTCAACTACAAACTGGTATTGAAGAAGCTACATTATTACAAATTCTACAGATTTTACTTAAAGCTAAAGTATTGAAAATTGTATCCGATCCAAAATGTGAAATAGATCAATCAACTGTAATCAGTGATGATTCGAACGAATCAAATTTATCACCGGATACACACTTGGCGCTATATACAGATTATAAAAAGTTAGTTAGTTGATTTTTGTGTGTATTATTTTATTTCAATTCACAATTATTTGAAGTGTATATTATTTGAATTATATCATTTTTGTGTCAAGATTATCAACAGGCACATGGATTTTCAAGGGTCAGTCTAAGTGTTATGTATTATGACAATGTAATTGACCGGGAAGTTAATTTACTGAAATAATTGAGATGACTAAACTGATAATCTACTCACACAATATATGTTTATTAATAGTCAATCAAAGCTATTATTTACACATATCAATTTCAACAAAGGTAGTGTGGCTTAACAGATAATCAATCATCATCCTTTGGACCTTCACTTTACACTTCTTCTTGTCCTCTGATAACTTCGTATATTTCACCTTAAAAATAGAGTACCATGATGGTGTCTTTCATCGTATCATTATTATCCACATGAATAATATTAATTAGCTTATAAATTTTCGACAGACCATGAGTCAATTGAAGCTAGATCAACATGGAAAACCTAGAAGCACTGGACAGTCGTTTCGTCGTATTGTGGGGCTCCTCAGCAGTGTGCATCCACGGTCCCACCTCACGAGGTTGCACTAAGATATCTAAGTGTATTTTCATTAAGATTTTTATATCATAAACATTAAAATACAAAATACTTACACAACTTCACTGTGAACAATTCATAATATTGTGTTATATTTATTCATTAAAAACAATTTCTAGTCGTTCTTTTTACTTATTGTTGTATATGTCAGGCAACTTTGTCCTTGTATTTCGTAAATACTTGTATGTTATGTTTAGTTTAACAAATAATCCATTTGTATAGTGCAAAAACATATTGTCGGTCAGTGTGAGGGATCACATGTTCAGTTTAATTCATTAAATTCTGTTATATTTTGTCGGCTAAAAAAACATGATCCCAGATTATTTGTACCACGTTTTAGTATATGTTACTGTGTAACTTTACAAAATAAACGCGGTACTTGACGACAATAAAAGTAATCTTGAAAAAATTATTTATAGACATCTTTAATATTTAAAGGTTCGGTTTTGAATAGTCTGCATTCAATTGACGCAATTACATTTTTAAAAAAATACCAAAACAAATGTTTTCGATTTCACGTTTTTCCTGATGTCCTCGTATAATACCGTTATTTAGTTAGTCATATAAATTATAGAACCTAACCCATCATGCATCGGCTACCACCACATCAGCAGTACAGCAAGACTAATACAAAAAGATTAATATTTTCAGTGGTTGTAAGGTATATATTAGAGATTTAGAATGTAGTTCAAGGTGTAATAATAATTAATGGAGATTAAAATGGTATAAAATAATTTTAAGACCTAGGATCTATGAGAAGAAAACGAGTGAATGGATCCACACTATTTAGATTGACTCTGAACCAGTTTAATAATTTACTTAGCAAATGCTAATGCTTATACTCTCATTACCTATACCACTACGGGATTTGAATCGACCACTGCATCTGTGTGCTAATGTGGTGTGGCAACTCGAACTGATGTACGTACGTACGAAGTTCTACGTTGTTACTGACTGACTGACTGACGCATACGACTGTTAATGTTACTATACAAGTAATATGTGTATTTATTTTATAAACATTCAGAAACAACCTATTAAACGATATTTAAACTTCAAAAATCATTACAAGTGATGCAGACTTTCGGCTTTTAAAGCTGCGAAAATGTATTATGCAATATTCTCAGCATATTAGTAATCCTCATGTCTATTTTTTATCAGTAAACAAGGCCAAATAGACCCTTACCTTTTGTGTAAGTGATCATTTCAGTTCTTGCTATTAATCATTTGGAAGTCTAACTGGTTATATTTATCCAGCATTTAGCCCATATTTTATTATGTAAACAACAAAAGGGATTATGTAAATAACATAGTTTTAATGGAAACCTACTGAGCGAACAGTTCTTCTGCTCTATTTTGGAGGAGGAAATGTTATTTAAGAATCACAAGTATAATTGGTTTCTGCATAATACATTAATTTTTTCATGAATAGATAAAAGCTCTCTTATAAAATTTGTGTAGATCTGACACAAGCAGGCATAGAAAGTAGGATGCATCAAACAAGTACAGAGATTGTATTGGGGAAAAAAAGTGAACAATAGTAGTAGATAGGTTTAGATACAGTTCAGTCGAAAATATACCTAGGAAAGACTTTCACTTAAAATAGTTTCTTTCATTTATATGAAGAATGTAAAAGAAAACTATAGCATCATCCCCATTAACTCCTATTCTGAACCTTGTCTAATAGCATTTCACAATACTGCACCATCTCAGTAACCCCAACCGGAGAGTTGTGTTGGACCTCTACGCTTTATCTATCTTGTTTTAGCACTCAACCTAGTTGAAATCTTTACACTATGGTTATCTATAGAAATATATTTAATCATGCGATTTCTTGAAGTACATTTAAACAACCATATTATCTGAGATTTCATAACAACTTTTAGTACGTCATGATAATTTTTGAAAAATAATTGTTACGTCACTAGACACTCATGAATGTTTTTGTTAGGCATGTCACCATACTTATATATAAGCTCCCTTAACATCAAATATTCTAAGCGAGTTTCCACAATAACTAATGTATGCTAATAAGAAACAAATGTAACCAATACTCATTTTTGAAGCATTGTGCAACCACCGAGTGATGTAGAAAGTGGAGCAGTAAACGGGGGTTATAATTCAGTTGATAAGTTTGTGAACCCCTATCAACTCCCCAATTTCTTCCTACCACCATGCACTAGTCTACGTAAAACAAGACTTTATGTCTCCAAATTAAAATTTCCGGTGATGTAGACTTCCTGCTTCGAGTTATTTAAAATGCTAACTCATGACATTTAGTGTGATAACTCACCGTCAGTTGTTTTATTTCAAACTACATCTTTTGTTTATTTTAACACATAAATGTTGGTACAAGTAGGCATCAAATACATATGCGCCACACAAATCGAATGATTTGTGTGAGGGCTGAGATACTGTCTGGGTGCCCGAACCGAAGCGGGTGGTTTTCTTAGGGGGCCACACCTGGAGCCTTCTACCTAACCGTCTGACCCACAAGGCAATGGAGCAACGTAAGCAGATGCAGTCCGATGGTAGTCGGTGATCAACAATTGGTTCGTACACTGTTTGTAACTTTAGGACCCTGGAGCCCATGTGCACCATTGGTTTGGAATCAGGGTTTTCCAACTCCGCTAGACGGATCGTCCGTATCCACTAATCCGGTTAGAGCGCCGTGCATTTGCTTTTCGTCCTCTCGATTTCGTAAAGAACACCTGTGACACTACAGGGCAGTGAATAGGACTTCCCTGGCAGTTTATATACATAAAAATCTCAGAGATTTTGTTTTCATTGTTGTTGATTGTTCAGACCAATACAATACTGATGCTCAATAATAGTTAATATAATTTGCTTTTACTTGTTATCGTTTCTTCACTGTTTCTCTCTTGTTGCTGTTGTTCATGTCAATCTCAATTCGATTAGTAAACGCGTTCGAGTTTATTTGAATGTTCCTTTGAAAAGTGAAACGAAACAAGAAATTGAACAGACTTTAGGGAATGTAGAATCTGATCGAAAATTAATTGTTCAGGTTAGTTGATCCCTAAAAATGCTTTATCTACTTATGATTTTAGTTTTTTCGTGTGATGGAAATGTGTGTTAATATCTTCATTCACTTTATGTAAAAGAACCTTTTTGACTTAATGGTGTACATATACTTACATAATCTTCAATTATAAAGTTCTAAATTCTATCTGTATATCATTTAGTTTGATGTAGATAAGGACACACGAATGTTAGTCTCATCTCATTAATTCGATGTAACATACAATGCTGACTGGTAAAGCTTGTATGTAATTATTTCATTTGTTCGTTTCTATTATAGTATCAGTTAGTTAGTCAGTTATGATCAACAAAGAACCTCCTAACACATGAGTTGCTAGCCAATGTTCCTACATCCACGTTAGCTCGGCGAGATGAAACTAACAAGTTTTTTTAAGAAAGGAAGCGATATCAAAATTTTTTCCAGTCAAATGTGTGTACATAATCATCCAAATTCATTAATATAAGCGGAGATGATAATGTTGATCAGAGAAACAATGAGTGCTCCACGACCGAACTATTCCTCTCAAAGAACAAACCTTCATGAATCAGAGAAATTAATCACTTGCTCACGATAAACACTTGGTTGATTGAATGACTGAATAATTAAAAACAAACGTATGAATAGCCGAGTTTTATTTGTGGATTGGCTGATGTTAGACACTAACACCATTGGATGCCGGCTCAGTTGTCTAGTTGGTTAAGCGCCTGGCGCGAGACTGATAGGTCCTGGGTTCGAATCCCGCTCGCGGGATCGTGGATGCGCACTACTGGGGTGTTCCATACTAGGACGAAACGGCCGTCCAGTGCTTCCAGTTTTCCAACGGTGGTCTAACATAAATTTATTTATGATCTCAATCAAAAAAATGTTATAATTACAATTGGATTAATATGGAAAATAGTCTAGAATACAGTACTGTGAAATGTAATTCTCAGATTAGAATATCATTTGATTAAAAATATAATTTTCTGAATAACTCAATTATCCGTTTAAATGTGTATCGATTTAATCTACTATATCACAAAGTAGAGAATATGATCAGTCTAGATTGGATGGTATTTTAGAATCCGATCGTGTTTTAAGGATAGATGCTGATCGACTTATTTGTCTCCAGCTTCTTCACTACTAAACCAATTTATACGTTCAAAATGAAATAAGTTTTGAGTTTAATATGCCAATCCATTTTAATCCTCACTTTTATTCTCTTTTTTTCTATAGGCTTGTATAGTACGTATTATGAAGACTAGAAAAGTAATGAAACACCATCAATTGATCTCGGAAGTTGTTACACAATTAACACCTCGATTTAAACCCACTGTATTATTAATTAAAGTAAGTTTTGTTTAGTAATATATATATGAAAAACAAGATCATTATTTGATGTTATAATTAGTAGATAGTGTAAACATTTCCTCTTTTTATCATTCAGTACCCTCAATAGTCGAATTGGCTGGCGCATATACGAAAATGAATAGAATATCATCAATTTCTTGCTTCACAGTTTATAATTTCATAAATGCTAAACGCTGATAATATTTCTAAAAATTGTTTCTGGATTTCTTAGATAGTTCAACTTTCATCCCAACTACCTTAATCATAGGTTGCCAACTTGACTTAGACTCTCAGTTTGTGCAATTGAATATTATTACTAATTCTCACATCTAAATTGTAGCTTAAATTCAAGGATAGGAATTTTACTTGTTAATTTTCGTTCAGATAAAGTTTCCTTATATGAATAAATAAATTCTCTTTATCAGTGGACTTGGTTCACGCAGTTGAAGTATGTTGATGTATTCATAGATAATTCAGTCATATATAAACGTTTCAATGCTAATATTAGTCGGTTAAAGACAATCAGATATCAAAATGAGTTTTTGTTTACAAATGTATATCGCTCCAACCTCCCGTACTTTACATCAACAAATCGAGGGAAAATTATCACATTAAATGGAAAACGAACAGAAATAACATAAAAAACTTTACTGAATAATGAAGCTGGAAATACAAATCACAAGAGTAAATAGAATCGCTGATGCAAGGCAAAATAAAACACAATAATGTTTATATCACCTATCAGTGAACTGAAACCCACTCTCCAACTACGACAACTACAATTATTTCACTAATCTCAATCATAAAATTTTGCACATATTGATTATATCTAAGTCAGCAGTCAGTGATTTAATTTGTTGTTGCACATATCATGCTTCCTTCACATGCAACCTTCTTGGGGGACTCCTACCGACCTGGTATATCCTACCAGTTTATACATTCACTAGATACGTGAAATAATTGTCTCAGCCACCTCATTCGATGAATGTACACAGTCTTATCAACATGCGGTTTATATGTGGCACATTTGATGGAGTTTAGTCATTTAATTTAAATAGTTTAGATGTGATACATTCATGTCCGGCGCTTTAACCGGATTAGTGGATACGGACGATCCGTCTAGCGGAGTTGGAAAACCCTGATTCCAAACCAATGGTGCACACGGGCTCCAGGGTCCTAAAGGAACAAACAGTGTATGAACCAATTGTTGATCACCGACTACCATGAGAATGCATCTCCTTGTGGGTCAGACCGTTAGGTCGAAGGCTCCAGGTGTGGCCCCCTAAGAAAACCACCCGCTTCGGTTCGGGCACCCGGACAGTATCCCAGCCCTCACACAAATCGAAGGATTTGTGTGGCGCATATATATTTGATGCCTCCTTGTACCAACATTTATGTGTTAAAATAAACAAAAGATGTAGTTTGAAATAAAACAACTGACGGTGAGTTATCACACTAAATGTCATGAGTTAGCATTTTTAAATAACTCGAAGCAGAAAGTCTACATCACCGGAAATTTTAATTTGGAGACATAAAGTCTTGTTTTACGTAGACTAGTGCATGGTGGTAAGGAGAAATTGGGGAGTTGATAGGGGTTCACAAACTTCTCAACTGAAATATAACCCCCGTTTACTGCTCCACTTTCTACATCACTCGGTGGTTGCACAATGCTTCAAAAATGAGTATTGGTTACATTTGTTTCTTATTAGCATACATTAGTTATTGTGGAAACTTTCGCTTAGAATATTTGATGTTAAGGGAGCTTATATATAAGTATGGTGACATGCCTAACAAAAACATTCATGAGTGTCTAGTGACGTAACAATTATTTTTCAAAAATTATCATGAAGTACTAAAAGTTGTCATGAAATCTCAGATAATATGGTTGTTTAAATGTACTTCAAGAAATCGCATGATTAAATATATTTCTATATATAACCATAGTGTAAAGATTTCAACTAGGTTGAGTGCTAAAATAAGATAGATAAAGCGTAGAGGTAACCAGTATATGAAACGGCATTATGTTATAGAAGAAAACTGTACAGTGTTGGCACTGGTCGGTCCAACACAACTCTCCGGTTGAGGTTACTGAGATGGCGCATATGTATTTGATGCCTCCTTGTACCAATATTTATGTGTTAAAATAAGTAATAAAATCAAATCCGTTGAAAATAAATTGTGTAATTTATATTTAGATTTTATTAAAATAATTTAAAATGCTGAAGTGGGTTAATTTTCTGAATTCACTGTTGTAACAACATAGAATAGCAACTTGTTTGAATTTTTATCGTACAAAATCAGGCAGATTAAAGGTATTACTGTTATACGACTAAAGTTCCAATCTACCTCGTTTGTTTACTACTTATGCTCCACATTTCCCAATCATTATCATTGTATGTCTTCCATGATTGCAATTAACTATAACCGAATTGATTTTAGACCTAATTTATTTGTTTCGAGAAACAATATTGTAAATTAATAAATCAAAGTAAGGTGAGACTATAATTTATGGAAGACGTTTGGGTGGCGCTAAAGTGACCCTGTGAGTGTCCACCTAATAACCAGGAGGGTTATAAACCTGTGTGAGGAATTACAATTTTGATTTATAGTTGATGGTTTGGGTTAGAAATTAGATTAAGGGTTTTCATCACGAACTGACATCAGCTATAATGCCAAAATTCGTGACCTGTTTTCTTATACGTGATTGGTTCTTCCATAAATTATAGTCTGGGCCAAAGTAAATTTCAGCTACAGGAAAGTATAGTAAAACAAACGTTTATTCTAAGTACCTCCTGAATAAGATCGAATGAAATACTATTTATCTTCCACATTTTTAGGTTCATTAGTTTTGATCATTTTAAACATATTTAACGCAAGCGTTTTTGTTATTATTTATATTTTCTATGTTTCAGCGATGTATTACCGCTCTCATTGAAAGAGAATATATTAAGCGAGATAACAATGAACGAGATGCTTATGAATATTTGGCTTAATTTTCCCTACTTGTATGCTGTCGCTCATGTGTGTATGTGTGTTTGCATTCTGTGGGCTTTCTAATAAACCAGTTTTATTTTCGTTCATAATTTGCAACGATTGTTTCATTCTAATTTGTTACTTTTTCTCTTTACAACAAATCCAGTATGGATTTGTTTGTATTTTACAGCATTCTGCACTTTGAAAATATCTCAGATGTTCTTTTTTTATTCATTGTCACTGATGACTAACTACCTTGTTTCAGTTTCCCTTTTCTATTTTTTGAATGTTCGCCTGATAAGACGAACGTATTTCGTCAAATTACTATGGTAATATTTCGGTATGGTTACGCTTCTGAAATGGATGTGTTTCGCCAGCGTTCCATACATATTTAAAGGATCGAAAAATGATACACTGTTTTATGCAAACATTCACGTTATCATATTTTTGCTATTCTAGTTGCTTCCAGTTCCTCTTCACTCTTTCATATTGTACCTATGTTATTGTTTCATTATACATATGTTTAAACATCCCCCTACCATCCATAATGTTATGATGTGATTCGAAAGTAAAAGTGGGCGAAACACTTCTGCCATCCGATTCTCTAAACGTATTCGAGACAATTCGGTAAGAATACTTCACTCTGTTAAATGCACCACCCCAACCAATTTATGGCATTATTAATGTATATAACAAAATGCATTATTGTATGCCTAAGAATGACAATCACATAGGTACTTCCAATATTGTTTTCTCGTAACATATTTGGCCTTTCAATAAATCTATACATAAATACAACGAAAAAATTCCAAGAATATAGTGGTCTAATCATGGAGGGATATGCTTCTGCAGAACACCTGATGTGGTTTTGAAATCAAAAAAACTGAAATTTCTTTAAACATTAAAACGCACGAGTCTTATGAAGTAACTCTGCATTTATGTTTAATTATTTTATCATTCCTCATGTGCAATGTGTTCACTGCATTCATGGATGTCAGCCGAAAATTATTTTTGTGAACGTTTGTTTAGCATACTGGATTTGAATTGAGTGGTATATTGCTTCATCATGGATTGTTGAATGCTGTCAACCGTCTCTGTTAATTTTTGGTCAGTTGAAATCTTAGAAATTATGAACGTTCAGATCAACACTTAATAATTCCATCTGATACTGATCGTTAGTCGCATAAATACAACCCTGTATAATCCACTCGATCTCAATGGGAATAACAGCTATCATCAGGATTTAAACAATAACGAAACATGTAACCTAAATACTCATTGATTGCTATGAGTGGATTGTACGACATATTTTACTTTAGAAATCGAGATCGAAACTCTAACTGTAATTTACATTCATATGTTGCCTTCTATCATATCTGTCAAGATATTATGTGAAATATCTCTGTTGTTGCTTAAATCTAGTTGTTTTACGTGATTCATGTGTAACTAATGAATATGCTTAGCTATTAAGCCAGCGGTTAGAGAGTTTGTCTTGATAACATAATATACCTTTACACTTTAAATGTGTTATTAAACAGAGATCAACCAATCACCATCAGATGATTCACACCAGTAACAGTTAAATCAACCTGAAATTTCGTTTTTAATTGGAAGGGTATTTGTATTACAGTTGCTTGTAAATCATTCTAACCTATTCAGTAGGACAAGTTCAAATGTGTATAAGCAGTATTAACGTCCCAAATTTTGAAAGGCCTCCTGGAAATGCAACTAGAAATACTTCGATAAATAGTGGCTGGCAGTGAAATCCAGGACACGCGTCTCGTCCTATTTCAGACCCTTCTCCATATTCGCACCTTGAACCGCGTTTTTTCGCTAATTTTGAACTTTTGGAAAACTAGTCCATATCTATTTGTTTCGGAAAATGTTACACGTTGGCACGAAATCACTTACTATACCTTTTGGCGGAGTACCGATCCACACGTTGCTGAGACGTGCACCACTGTGGCGATAGCTCTTATTGTTAGTGTACATTTTCAGCACCGTATGATACCTAATACTACATCTCTGACGCTTACTGTTAGCCATGTTTCTGAGATGGCAATGAAGTCAGTGCTGTCTGTGTTAACTGTTTCTAAGTTTTCCTATTGTCTATTAGATTCCAAGTATTTTCAGAACAAACTGTTTATCCTGGGGTTATAAGAAACGACTTTATCCTTAGGTATCGTGAATTACTTCGAGCCTATTATTTGTCAGTCTAGAAATTAGTGTGACAATAATATGTTAGCGCACAATGCATTTTTGTTTTCTTATGTAAATCTTACGTACAAATATTCCAACCCTGCATTCCCTTAATGAACTGTCTGCCAGAAGCTATCTATACTTCCGAACGCTGAATTACTTTCCACGTGATTAGAATTTTGATCCCAACTGTCCCCTTCATTGTTACATAGTAAGTTTTGGTATAACCCTCCGTGCGGGAGCTCAACGGTTCGATTTGCTTGTAATACAATAATTATAAAGACAATGAGTTCGGCGGAGTGTACAACACAGCTTTGTCTAAAACACTACATTCATACCATAACTTTTAAATGGTTATCACTAAAGAAGGGTTATGGATAGTGTGTTTTCAGCAATAATATTGGTCAATTCTGCTTACGATCTAGAATGAAGCGACTAATACATCATATTGACTCTGCCTGACGGTGCGAATGACCTTCAACTAATCTACAAACATTTGGTTTGTTTGATTTTCTGTTTGGAAATCACTCCTTACTTAAAATAGGAATCTTGCTCTAAGATAAATCAGTTAATCTACGTTTTTTTTTGAAAAAAAATAGCATTAGGCACTACTGAAAAATGGTTTTCGTATATCTAGACAATATATATATCTCTTCAATATGATTTTTGGTTGGGTCCATCAAAATTTGTTTCATTGGTCCTGTATAGTGTCTACGTAACGAACTATAACTTGTCTATGTAACTGTATATTCAAATAGGGATCCTTTTGAATTTGTTTTCTTAATATGTTTCTGCTTGTAAATTAGTTTTTGTCATGTAATTTATTAATTGAGAACTGATTGGGAATGCTTTATTTTACCATTTAGATAGAGTCGTTTTTGAGGAACTTTTCGCTTAGAGACTTGTCGTTTTTGATATACTTCAGTATCGTGTGTGGTGGACCAAAAATATATCAATTACAACAATAATGATACAGTTATTGGCTCAAAAATTAATGTGTTAATATATCAAATATAAATTATACAGACAGAATAAATGCACAGGACGTTATTTAAGTTATCCAGTAACGGCGTGTTCGAATTTCTTTTGGACTGGTAATCCGCAGTTACATGTAGTTGATAATTTCATTTATAATGAAAATATCACTGTGATATGTAATTGTATATTGCAAATATATTAGAGTTCTGTCATCATAACAATGGGTAATTGGGAAGAAGGGACATTTGTGTGCAGCGGTGTATTTGTGGGCGATAACCAGCGTGTCATGTTATGCGGGATTAAAAAACGGAACGAGAGAGTCAGTGTCATGTTTTTTAAACAATTTTTCACAGACATTAGTACCTTGACCAATTATGAGAATTAATGAAAGAGATACAATTAGTGACAAAAACTGATCACGAAATATATATATTGTGATTATCCCTACGCGTGCTTTGTCATTGCTTCAGAAGTATTCATTTATTTCTGCAAATGGCCTTAGGATACTAGAGGGCGGACTGTTGCGAGGCCAGACATTTGGTTCATATCATATTTGCCGCTACAAGCCTTTCATTGTCAGGTTTGGGTTCTTGGGAAAAGTGGAATTTGTTTTTGGCTTATGACTTGTGTGAGAATTTTTTAAATATGACGGTTAGTTTGTTTAGTTTATTAGTTCTCAGGCATAATACGACGACAAACTAATACAATAATGGCCTCAAATGCCCTGGTATGGCCGAGAGTGGGGTGGGTTCGCTCTCCCTCTCGAAATGCTTTCACACGGCCACGCGTATATTGCCTCTGCCAGGGACGTCCTTCTCATTGCCTTCCCGTTGCGGGGGTGTTTTTTACGAAAATGAGAGGACGAGAAGCGAATGTCCTGTGCTTTAACCGGATTCCAAACCAATGGTGCACATGGGCTCCAGTATCCTGCGGGAACAAATGGCGTATGAACCAATCGTTGGTCACCGGCTACCATGGGACCGCATCCCCTCACGATGCTCCACTGCCTTGTGGATCAGATTTTCAGGTCGAAGGCTCGGGGTGTGGCCCCCTAAGATAACCACCTGCTTCGAGCAGTATCACAGCCCGCACACAAATATGATGAGCTGTCGATAATTATGGAAAATACTTTTCTTGCTTCAACTATTAATCAAACGATTCACATTATTATTATTACTATTGTTATTATTCACTACATCATTTATTCACTCTTTTATTCCTACTCTTCAATCCTTATTTTTCGACTTATACAACAGCTCGTCTATGGTGGAAATTCGGCTCTATCTAGACGTTCTCGAGTAGAGACGTTATCAGATATGGCTGAAAATAGAAGCCAGTGGCGATCCTGCTGTAACCTTTCACTTTCTTCATAAAAAGTGGTTGCTTCTTCCTTAACTGAAATATCTCTTCTGAGTGTAGGTTTCTGCTTCCCTCATTATTATTATTACACTAATCTGTTCGTTATCGTTCTTTTACGCTCCTTACCTTTTTTTCCTTCTCTGCAAATTCTCATTGTTTTGTGTGGCGCATATATATTTGGTGCCCTCCTGTACCAATATTTATGTGTTTAAATAAATAAATAAATAATATCAGATCCAGGGTTCAAGAAACAGAATAACACGAGATAATATTTATAACTAGATAGGAATTATATGCAGTCTACCAGTGCTTCCGGAGCAGTAATCAATGAGAGGGAAGGAAATCACATTTAATATTCAGTAAACCAAGTGTTTGCTTCTCCATGCTCAATGTTTAATTATATTTTACATTTTCTAGCACATGTCATCTTACTCTCTATGTTTACAGGTATTTTTGTCCTAATTTCATTTGAAAAAAATTTGATCAGCATTATAACCCAGATCGCCCTGCCCTTTAATATCGTGCGTATATCTCTTCCTCCACGATCCAGTTTGTGGTTCATATGTATCCATGAGAACAATTTGACGCTTCCAATCTGCATTATCTCATACTTCGATTGCATGTGGGTGTTTGGGCACACATATTGACATCTAACTTGAGGCTTTCTACCACGAGATTCCGACAAGCATAAAAAGCACGACACATGTTCCTGGTCCCATCTTTCATGTGAAAGTGCAGAAGGTCATCGAAACACTTATGGCATTGATATATTCAATTAACACAAGGCGTTCAACCGATCATTAGGATCATAGTGTTTTTATGACGAGTCTTCTGCACTATGCTCATCATAGCATGACGTAGTAGTATTCACTGAACTCCAACTGAGGATAGTCCATCAAGCGAAATTTCTTCCTCGACAACAGAACAATGAAAGTCTAACGTCTCAATGCGTGTCTCCCTATCAATGGAATCTGCCTAACCAACTACATTCTATAAGCCTGCCCATATGTCAGTGGGTTCACGATATATTTCTCTAATATCTCCTCATCATACATCTAACTGATATAGTCCTAAGTTTCCTTAGCCAGTCGCAAAATAAAATCACTTCACCTGCTTTTAAAGACAGGATAAGACAGTAAAAGTGTTAACTGCAAGGTGAGTCTTCGAAGTCTTTTCACTGTGTTAGGTATCGTTAGAGATATTATCGAATGTCATTTTATGTACAAATAATATGACTTGGACCCACAACAACCGTTATGTGCAGCGGAAGTGTGAGAAATGCAGCCGATTTTGTGTCCAATCTTTTATCTAGAAGAGGCTTATATGTGGAAACCACACTGGGATGGTTTTCTATGTCTTCTGCATTTTCCTGATCTTCTCTATAATTTGTCTTGGTAAACGTCGAGTTCTTTGGTCTGCTGAGGTTTGGTCGTGCTTCTTCTTTAAGACTGTTCAGTGTATAAACGGTTCGGTCACTTAATTGTGCGATTCCCAGTAGTGATTTGGCGCCTTCACTAATGAGGACCCACAGTGAGTTTCTCAGTCTCCTGTCGTGGCTGAAGTGTTTATAACCTTTACTTCCTATTTCCTTAAGTCAGGACGAGGTTGATGCATCGACTTGACAGACTATATAGCACATGAACTTGAATAAAGTGATTGCACAAATATTTCACCCTATGTATTGAAGAGAAATTATTCCGCTGACATCATCAGCATTTGTGATGACTAATTCGAATAGAAATGAGGATATTCGTAATTTATATCTAGTGGAATCTCGTGCGCTGGATTAAGGCCGATGTAATTGTTGTTCCCTACAATTTTTAATCGATCTGTGTTCTAGACAGTCAAATATCCGAGTTTCTCCAGTTTATAGAGGGTGGAATAAAATCATTTATTATGGAGGATTTGCACTCGTTCGGCCAGAAATCAATTTCACATAAGACGGAGCCATCCACCTCACATTCTGGACAGGTGCATGCTACAAATAATTCAATGTCTTGTCCCGTGCATTCCGGTCGGCAGCGCACTAGCTCACATATTTCTGAGTCGTGTGCTAATGTCGTGACAGCTTGTATGATTAAGGTGCATACTGTGCAAAGGATAACTTCACTACTCTGTCAGACACACGAAGTTCTAAACCAAGCACTCAAATTCAACCATCATACAATCCGGACGTTAATCATATATCTGGGATAGTAATGAAGTCGGAATTTTCTGTGTTGACTACGTTTATGCGACTTGCTACTTTATCTAGGGGTATGCAAGCATTCCTATAGCACACTTTTAATACTGTTGTGGGGCCAGTGAAATACTGTTGAGCCCTAGCCAAATCACCATGCAGTTGGGTCATTGAATATCGGACAAATCATCGATCCTCGTCAAGGTCAAGGACAACTAACGTGCATTAGTTGGTCGTACGCCATGGACTGGCCCATGCGGCAGTGGTCCCACCTTCGCTTGTATATACTTTAACTAATATATTTCTGTAATAACGTCCTCTGTGTTGTACAGTCTTCAAAGCATTTATATTACCTTGATACGTCAATGGAGTAGTCCACGTAAGGGGCTGATCACCAGATGTGACTTCGACGTTCTCTGCTTCGTCACACCATTCACGTCTAACTCGAGTAAGCCTCCAGTCATTTCGACATAAATCATCTACGCTGGTGATTTACACCGTGAAATGCTTCACCGTACCCTAAGAGTGTTTTTGCAATGACTTTGCTGTGAACGAATACCACGTAGAAACCTCTCGGTCTGAGGTTGTTTTCGTTGTTTCGGAGGGGCTCATGTATTTCTGCCTAAGTCGATTGTCTTGTAGTGACACACATTTATCACGAGAACACGATTGGTTTAACAAAAACGCTTATTATTATAACCAAGTGTACCAGTGACTGTTTTAATGTGCTTCTGTTTGACTGTGCTAATGACAGCTATTTGTGCTTCCATTCTCATACTTACACTTTGATTGTAACTTCGAGCGAACTCGGTTACGTTCTGTAACCAAGCTTGTATCCTGGCACGATCTCGGTGTCCTTTCGATACCATGAGATCGTCAGCAAATATATATCTCGATTTGGTCCATTAATTGCCTTCTGGTATTTGGCTTCTCGGAGATTTTATGGGTTTCTTTGGTTACGTTCAACCTACGCCTTCTGATTTATTTGGCACGTGTTTCTTGGTAGCGGTGTTCATAGTTAACCTCAACTCGACACCACGCTACAGTCTCTTAATGCGTTTAGACAGTTTGAGATCCATGCAGACATCTTTCAAATCCAGCCAGTAAGGATGAATTTTCCAGTATTCGGTTCTTTTTTTCAGTAGAAGCAAAAGTGAAACTTAAAAAGCAGTTCACCCGAGTTCTTCCTTAGTCCTAATTTTTTCCTATTCTGTAAAACTGATTAGTGGTAGTAGCATATTTATTCATATCTAGTCTTTGGTTGCCTCTTGGATGACTCACTTAACTTGTGAAAAATGATCATGAAAGCTGTTATGACAAACTGTGACGTTTTGTATCCTTAAATCCCGCTCCATCATCACTCAATTTCAAGTCTGTTTATAGTGCTATAAAAATCCTAAATTTAAGGATGGTCAGAGACAGATCATATCTAACTACCGGCCTGTTAGTCTAACTAGCATTGTCGTTAAGTTACTTGAAAAGATAATTCGGGTCAGGTTGCTAAGCCACGTAGATTCACACAATCTGTTAGCTCCTGAGCAACACGGATTTCGTAACAAGCGTTCATGCCTGAATAACTTATTGCGAGAGAGGATTGGTCAGCAGCCTTAGATAAATATCTGTCTGCCGATGTGGCATTCATAGATTTTAGCAAAGCATTAGACAAGGTTTCACACGTAGGTCTTATGCAAAAGCTCATGAGCTTCGGAATATCAGGTAATGTACATGAGTGGATAGGAAATTTCTTATGTGACCGCAGACAGAGAGTGAGGGTCAACAGAACGCTATCTGATTGAAAGTCGGTCAAAAGTGGTGTACCACAAGGCACCATCTTAGACCCTCTGCTCTTCCTTCTCTACGTTAATGAGTTACCGCTGTTGCTTAAGTCGTCGACATTGTTGTTTGCGGTTGACGTTAAAATATGGAGAACAATAAAAAGTGCGGCTGATCATCTGGATCTTCAAGCTGACTCAGACGATTTGGTAAGATGGGCTCGAGAGTGGGGCTTACAAATCAATGCTAAGAAGAGTGTGCTAATGCATATCGGCCACGGTAATAGTTACCATTATACTATTGACGGTAAACCTCTTCCATGCGTTCAAGAACATAAAAACTTAGGAGTAGTATTAAGTCATGATTTAAAAACAACTACGCATTGCAAAGCAGCCGCTGTCAAAGGTTTTCGTGCGTTATGGTCTGGTAAAGGACCTTAACTCATTCGAGCGTTTCTAGTGTGTAGGAACGAAATTAGTGAAGGGTCTTTCTAAAATCCCCTACAATGAGCGTTTAAATCGCCTTAACTTTTCCCCTTGTTGTATCGTAAGACGCGAGGTGACCTTATACTGGCATTTCATATCTTGAATTATGATTTGGGTGTTAATATGTCTAATTTTTTTGCTCCCCTCAGCACTAATAATCTCCGAGGTCATAGTAAGAAGGTTCATAAACCACGATCTCCTAGACTTAATGTGGTGTTCCGTTATTCTCATCGAGTGGTCAATGACTGCAACGCCTTACCCGAACAAGTGGTATCAGCCTCATCAGTGAATATTTTCAAGGAGGAGCTGGACCCTCACTGGAAGGCAATGTGTCAGGATTAACACAGGTTCACCAACCTACTATCCTTATTACCGAAGACTGAATTGTTTTACAGCATCGACGTGTGTAAGTCAACCTCTCAGTGACCTTGGAAGAACATTTTTGTAGGAACCGGTTTGGTTCACTTGATACCGCTGACGATTGGTGAGTGTTCTGTCCGTAAACTGTATTGTAGAAAACGGCGTTTATCTATGTGAGACATTCACAGAAGGCTAACGACTAGATTCTCGACACACGTTGACATTTTATCGCAGAGTTCGGAATAACTCTTGCTTTGATAAATATGGAACGTTGGCTGAATAGCTACAATATTCTGAAACATTACGCAACACAAAATGTGCTTACAGTTGTGCCTCTGTGAAAATGAGTCTCGCCTTAGGTATTGGTAACATTTGCATCACTTCTGTAAGGAACATCAAGCAGAGGATTCGGTCTATGGTGATTGATGCATCCGGTCATATATAGACAAAACCTGTTTTGAGATAATATGTCGAGACTGACTAGTGTATCAAACATGATCGTTTCGAAAGCATTTCTCAGATATGTCTGAACTTGCGTCCTAATATTTAAATAAGCACTACAGAACGACAAATCCACCACCGAGTACTTCATTCCAAATGAATCATCTTTATGAAAATACGGCCAATCGTATCCACGTTTAGTGCTCAGGAATAAGTAAATTCAATTAGTTCATATATGTCATGCTGATTACCCCCTGTTTACTTGGTTTACTCATCTATTACCTTTCATAATATTTTTTATTTTACATGGTTCACTTCTAGTCCGCCTTGAAATGCACTGACTAAAATGTGTCCACGATTATAATTTTCTATATTGTGTAAGGAACGTTTATCAAATTTAAATGACAGTATTGATTGCCTTCGCACGTGGATTGCTGTTCCATGTTAGTTTGTCATCTTGTTCAACTGACACTAGATTGTCAGTTTCACACATTGTAGATTAGTTGTTCATACGAAAGCATCTGAAATGTCGAGCGAACAGCAATATAAATTGTACTTTCTTTACTAGTTTGTATCAAATGGGAGGAAGATCGTTAAGATGAAGTGTTAACATTTATTTCCGTTAATTAAGTTATTGAACAGATGTTATGATTTTGCCGTTGTGTACACATAGACTGATTCAATTAAGGTCAACGTGTTATCCAATCGAGTAAATTTACTTAATACTTCGAATTGCCAAACCCTCCTTCACAGCCTTATTAACTGCATTGCTTATTCACGCTAGTGAAAACAAATTAGATGCGTAATTTATCAATCCAGTACAGTACTTTGTCAGAATCTTGGTCACTTATGTATTAGTTATCAAAGTCTATATACAGCACAACATAGTCTAATTAGTAGCTTAGATGCACAAATCAGTCTGAATTACCTAGAATTATTTTCCCTTTGATCTATGTTTGGCTATAACATAACTGCTTATTGAATAAGCATAATATTTATCAGTATTTTCAAGGGTTCCGTATTTTCTTATTGGTTGTTTACTATCGACGTACAGGCTCATTGAGGAGATGCCTTGATATTGTTCTCAGCTACAGTTTGATCAACTTTCGGAAGGTGGCTGGTAGTGAAACCCAGTAGATGTGGATTTTTGTGGTAATCAACACCGTGTTCCAATTTCAGCGTGAATATCAACATTACAATGTATATTCATGCAGTAGGGCAGAACACTTTCCAGGAATTTTAATATAAGTCACTATTAATAATTCGATAACTTAATATTAATCAGTTTATTCATTAAATGCGTTCTATATTTGAACATTTTACATTCTTTCAATTCAATCCAAAGGGAAACATACCATAAATATCTTAGTGGTAAATAATCATCATATCACTGAATATTTACATTTTAACCCTAGTAACTTACTAATGTACATATGTTCAATTTGTTTCAGTACAGCTCATTACAAACATGACCGACCTTAGCATTTCAAAATCAGTAACCGAATATGGTTGTACCAAAAGCGCAGACAAACTTCATCAGTATATATACGATCATTCACTACGTCTGTCTGAAGCACAAAAGTGGTTATTGCAGGTAATCATCGCAATTATTGTATTTTAAAAATGTATTGTAGGAGAGTAGAAAACATCCACTGTCATTAATGCTTTTCTCCAGTATAGAAATGCAACTTCTATCGAATTTGTGTTATGCGATAAATGCTAGAAAGACACTTGATGTTGGTAAGTACGAAGTGTATGTAGGTTTGTTTATAAGCATATATATCCATTCTACGTAACCCATTGCTTCTCGAACAAGTTCTCGGCCTTGATGAAATAAGTCAAATAAACAAGTATTACTGGCTCGTCCATAATTATACATTCAAATTAACTGTATAGGTAGATATAAGTAGAAATAGGATGAATAGAAGGTAGATATTATGCTTAACTTTGTTTCATGGTTTACGGCAATTTTGTATGAGTCTGCGTTCGACATATTTTCCCGTCTCAGCCTTGACGAAATAAGTAAACTACATAAATATTACTAGCTTATCTTTAATTAATTATTTGAATTAACTGTAAAGGTATATGTAAGTGGAAACATAATAAACAGAATGTGGATATTATGGCTAACTTTGTTTTATGGTTTACCGAAACTTGGAATGAGTCAGCGTTAAATAAATCAGTCTGTCACTTGGAGATAATTGCTCCTTAACTCTACCGTCTGAAGACGATTAAGGAGATTGGATGCTCTACTCCGTCATTCGTCTTTCTCCAGTGAGTATTATATTTCAGAGTGGTTGTTGAATTCGTGAATGCACAAATCATGTTTGGAGTGGCAGATATGGAAAGAAGAAGAGTTCAAAAGTAGAAGGATAAAGTCATCCAGTACTGACTGATTATCAGTGTCTATTCAGATAGAGTCGAATGAGTGAGAGAATTACCTTGAAGCAAGTATGTTGTTACCACATATCAACAACACATTCGTAGTTGACTTGCATATTGGTCTGTTAGTGGAAACTGGAACACTGATCTCATTGCATTTTAGACCCATCAGCTAGATGCATCTGCATGGTGTTATTGGTATTCACATGGAAATTCGAAGCAAGTTCCTTTCATTTTGAGCACCAACACATGATCCACTGATGAACTGGGACCAAATAGTCAGTAGATTGTTCGACGGTTGTGAATTTTATTTTGAAACAGTTTTCATTTAGCCGTTGTCGATGTGTGTTGTAATTGATCAGTCTGGTTTGCACGCGTATCGTCATTCAGTCATCGGTTCTAAGCAGAGTTGAATGATGACTGGTAGTGGAATCTGAGATGCTTGCATCGTCCTACATAAGCGTAGACAATTTCTGGAGACAAATGATTGTTTACGTCAAACTGTGGAAAGTCGAACGTTGTATTATTTACATAAATAAATAATGAGTATTGTGAGACGTGTAACGCAGTGCTTACTAGTGCACGAGTCTGTCTCTACATAAACTCATTCTATTGTGTACTGAATGTGAATGTCAAAGTATTTAGATGAATTAAACTTACAAACAACTACTTCCTGTCCATTCAAATACCACATTAGTAGTCTAATCCTCAAACCATGAGCTTTCCTTCCAAATCACAGGCCTGTTGACCATGAATATGGTTGATAAAATGAATAGAAATCTTACTAGTGATAGTCAATTATGTCTGGGATTTTTGACGTTCACAAACGTTTGGGTTGTTTGGTTCAGTAATAGTTGGTTTCACATATGCTTGTTAAGCTAATAGTTGTTTTGTTAGGCGACATTGCTATCTAGACAAGTTTGGAAGATGTTAGTGTGATAATTTTACTGTTTTCTGATTGGTCAATATACACCAGTTTAACGACCAGTCATTATCAACAGATATGTTTCCATTCATTTTAAAATGAATATAGGAGTTTATACTGGATATAGTGCATTGTCTATCGCGGAAGTATTGCCATCAGATGGACGTGTAGTTGCCTTGGATAAAACGGATGAATATCTGAAAGTCTATTGTTTGCCAGCATGGAAGAAGGCAGGTGTAGAATCGAAAATTGACTTCCGACTCGGTCCAGCGCTTCAAACACTACGTAAGTTTGACAATGTGGTGTGGTATATTGTTACCAAGAAATACAAAACACAGATGAACATTCAGTGTTTTAACATAGAATATCCGTGAAGATAAGCATTTCACCATCGGATTACTGATGTGTTCTGTAGTGTCAGCAATGCTATCTGGTTGGTTTGGGAAGAAGATAATATATGTGGAATTCATGCTACATTTCTGTTTAAGATAGTTGAAAATAATGGAATGTTGGTTAATGTGGACGGAATCCACAAGTAATCTTCTGATTAAGAAGTATTAGTGGAGTGGTCAGAAATATATAGATATCAAATGACTGAACTGCAAACAACTTTCATTGCTATCGGTTTCGATACCCATTGGTTTAAATATTGTCTGAGTTAACCACTTGTACAGACTATTGAAAAATGCTGACCACTTTATTGTATCTGTATGTCCATTAGTTCTAAGTGTATTATTGATATGTTTGATGAAGTTCCCTCCTATAATGTACATGATGTATGTGAGAAGCTATAATGTTTGCACTAGACAACATTACCAGGTCTCGTTTAGATTGCTTTACGATTCCTGATATAATTTCAATTTAGATGAAAATTTTTGTCTAAATTTGAAGTAATAGATTCACAGTATTTGAAAAATTTTATAATAATCAATGTTGACATGAAATGAATATTTCTAAATTAATTTTGATTGAGATCATGATTTGATGGATGTTAGACCACCACTGGATATCTGGAAGCACTGGAAGACCGTATTGTCTCCGTACAAGACTGCTCATAAGTACGCACGCACCATCTCACACACGGGACTGCAGCCCAGGACCTTCACCTTCGTGCACGAACTCTTAACCCATAGACCATTGAGCCGACATCCAACGGTGTTAATGTCTAACTTCAACCAATCCACGAAAACGCTCGACCATCTTCCATTGCACTGAGGTAGATACCTGTCTCTACTCGACACGGAATAACTCCACTGGTCACGGCTTCTAAGTAGAACTCCGAGAATTCTTTCGCGAAGCTATTCACTAGTGAGCACATGGTAATCATCAGTATGTGAAATCCCATACTATGACGAAACGGCCGTCCAGTGCTTCCAGGTTTTCAATAGTGGTCTAACATCAATCGATTCATAATCCCAATCAAAACTCAACAATCTTCACGACCATGTACTAAGAAATTTAACAAATTATTTATCTCCTGTGATTCGTGAGTTTTCAGAGATAAGCATACAGTTTTTATGTATGGTATGAGTGAAATTTGTCACAGTATGCATCAAATGAAGATAAATAGACAGAATGTAAATAAATGAATGAATGTTTGTGTTGTTTTGCAGTTCCAGTTAATCGTTTATCATATTCAGGTGAGACAGGTGATTAGAACAATTGAGTATGATTGTTGTTATCTTGATAATCTAACTTCTGTTACTCCTCGTATAGGAGTATAGGCCGCCCACCGGCACTCTCCATCCAACCCTTTCCTAAGCAATCCTTTCCTGTTGTTATTCATCCTTTTCATATCTGCTTCTATTTCTTGGCCTCCCTCTTTTCCGCTACCTTTCAGGATCCAAAGTTAGGACTTGCCTTGTGATGCAGTTTGATGATTTCCTTAATGTATGGCCTTTCCATTTCAATCGTCTTTCCCTAATCTCATCTTCAGCTAATATCTGGTTCGTTCTCTCCCAGGGAAGGCTGTTGCTGATGGTATCCGGCCAATGGATGTTGAGTATCTTGCGTAGACAACTAATTATAAATACTTGCATCTTCTTGATGGTGGTTGTTGTAGTTCTCCAAGTTCCAGCTCTGTATAGTAGAACTGCCCGCAGTGACGAGTCACCTAGACTGGTGGCCACATTGCAATGTGATCAATAGCATTCGATCTGCACTAAGAAGGACTAGACACGCATGACATTGATCGCCACTCAGTGATCAATCAATTGTGACAGTTATATATTAAATGGAGTTCAGGTTTACTTATTACTTATCAGTTACTATGGGACAGCTAATTGTACTCCATCTCTCGTATTAATATTCTCTGGACTAGCCCATATGTGCAGGACTGCGGCTGTTAGTCTTTCTTTGTGAGAATCAAAACCTGTTTGTAAGATTCTCGTGTCATTGCAATCAGTTGTTTGATCGGGTTGTATTGAGTGTAATGCTATCACTGATGTGTTTGCGAGCATTTTTATATGATCTGAGGATTTCTGAATGTCCTTAAAGCGCAGTTTGTGTTCCTTCACCCTCACATCCAGTTGTCGTGATATTTTATCTACAGATGTAGCATTACATCACCAAATATAAATGTATCTCGACAAGTTAGATGTGTGCTCGGAGGTTGGTTTGAACACTGCGATGTTGTGAGTAGGTGAACGGTACATGTACAATGTCTGATATAGGTGTTCTTCTAGTCAATGAAAACAATTTTACTGATGACGTTGAACGAATACATTTATTCGATTAGTATTCGATAACAGTTGGATGTATGTAAGTACGTTCAGTTTGATAACAGTTTTGTCGTAAACTATTTATTGATTTGGTAACTGAACTTTGTATATTTTGATTGAACTGTTGTGCCAACAGAAAATTTGATTGATAATGGAGAGAGTGAAACATTCGATTTTGCCCTGATCGATTTAGATCAACGAAACTACTGTAAATATTACGAATTATGTTTAAAACTAGTTCGACCTCGTGGAATCATCGCCATTGATAATGTAAGTTTGTTTTACTTACGAGCACATGTTCTATGTATCCGAATACAATTGAAGTCAACTTTCGTGACGAATTGATCGTTTAATGACTATTACTGAACCTTCTGTATGGAAATATCTCGCCCTTAAAAATGCTTCTACATTTCATAAATTGTCGAGGGAATATTCCACATATTCGGTGAAGTGTGAAGTATAATGTTAATAATAATAAATGACTGTAGTTGTACACCTTCTGCTGAATGATAGCCTTATATTTCAAACTAAATTGAATCAGTTTATCCCATATATGTATGAATAATTTATCTTGGATCAACTAATTGAAAGTTATTGCGTAGAGGGAATTATAAGTTGGTCTGTTCTAATAATCCTAAGCAAACATTACTGACTGGTGCCTCCAAATGATCTTTGTTATTTAAATTATAACAGTTTTACTGTTGATAATAATCTGTCATAGAATATTGATTATCTTATAGATTCTAACCACAGTATCTGCACCATTCTACGTGACTCTTATCAAACAGTCTAAATATTAATGAACAGATGAGTTGTCTTCTTTTGGTTGCTTTTAGATTTCACTCATTCTAATTCACCATCTCTCTGTTTCACAGCCATTTTATACCCTGTTGATTACCATTTCTTCTCCAGGTTCTATGGAGTCAGTTTGTGCTCGACGAGAATGATAACAGTCCTGCAACTGTCGGTATAAGAGAAATGAATGCATTGATATCTAGAGATAACTCTGTTCGAATTTCTCTCTTAAGAACTGGAGATGGATTAACAATTGTTGTGAAGAATTGATTCATGTTATGACTGTTTTCAGAATGGTTACATCCATACAGACACACATATATTTGATTAATAAACCGAATTGCTTTGATTGCTATCACACATAAATAAATATTCCCCATTACTATATTGTCATTTTCAATCATCACTGCATATGTATGTTGTTGTAATAAAACATTTCTCTGAAGGGTTTCTGTATATTACATACCGTTTCAATCATTTTGTAATTGGCACTAAACATGTCTGAATCACTCAAATGTGAGGAAATTTGTAGGATTGTGAGATTCTCCTTATAATCTGTGGAAACATGAAAGGTTGTACGGAAAAACCACAGGTTAGTGAAGATTTAGGGCGTTCAGTCTACAGATGTGATGTCAGTATAAATATTAGAAAGATTCCGATTGACGATAGTCTGACGATAGTTGATGATATACACAAACCACATGAGAAATACTGAGTTTTCGTTTATCTTCAGTAGACTATATGTTTTATTATTTGTTTCAGTTAAAGCATATGATCGTAATGTTTTCCTTGTCGCAGATCAAATTATTTGGAATTGCCACTAAACCGAAACATGGAACTTATCGGAAGTAAGAGCACAATAATTTGGCAGATCTCCTTCAGAAGGAATAGAAAATATTGATTATTAACTATATCGCATACGATCTGATAATTGATTTGTTATGGAAATCCAGCGTAGTCGTACACACGTATTCATAAAAAATCGTGCAGGGAGGACAGTTGACAAAGTCGTTCGAAGTAGAGACCGGTGTCAGGCAAGGTTGCCTACAACTGAAGAACATCTGGAAATCAAAACAATTGGCACCAGCACAATGATAGGATTTTCAATAAAAATGTGATGGCAGTTCTACTGTATGGGGCGGAAACTTAGAGAACGACGAAAGCCATCATCCAGAAGATACAGGTGTTTATTAACAGTTGCCTACGCAAAATACTTCCGATCCGTTGGCCGGACACTATCAGCAACAACCTACTGTGGGAGCCAACAAACCAGATTTCAATGAAGGAAGAAATCAGGAAGTAGCGCTGGAAATGGATAGGATACACACACATTAAGGAAAGCACCCAACTGCGTCACAAGCAAGCCCTTATATGAAATCGTCAAGGCCAAAGGAGGAGGAGAGGAAGACCAAAGAGCACATTACGCCGAGAAACGGAGATAGATATGAGAAGAATGAACAAGAATTGAATGGTAGTAGAAAATAAGGCCTATGACTGAGTGAGTTGGAGAACGCTGGTCGACGGCCTATGCTCCATTAGGAGTAACAGGCATAAGTAGTAGTAAGTGATGTGACAGATCTCCTTCAGAAGGAATAGAAAATATTGATTATTAACTATATCGCACACGATCTGATAATTGATTTGGTATGGAAATTCAACTTAGTTGCACACACGTATACATCAAATGAAGTGGTAATTTCAGGTTACCGATGGCTTTGCTTTAGTAAAGTAACATCTTTGGTTGAAGATTTCACAATCAAATGGATACTTCATTGATTCATATCAATGGTCGTCCGATTCGATCATAAGTTGTATCATCGTGTTATTATGTAGGATTTTAAATGCAAAGTAACGAGATTCATTTTATCACTCATAACCACATTCAATCGATTTATTAATTTGCGGATACCTAAACTCATAATCAACCAAACACACTTATTCTCAAGATGTCAAAGATATGTGTGGATGATTCTCTTGAAAGACGATTGTTTCTGCTCATTTTCAGTCCGTAATCCAATCAGTACGTAGTCAAGTATTGTAATGGACTGAAGATCAACATGTAACTCGATTGGCACATTTTGTACACGTCAAAATACGTTTTGCTATAATTAATTAGGACCTACGAATTCACCATATCTCAATTTCGACGAAATCCTCTGACAACCGTTAAACAACATTTAGATTCGAAAGTGCGTAATTATCTGTGATTGTGATTGTGGCGTTGGCTAACACCATATGTCTTCAATTGTATACATTCTTCTCTAACCCTATTCACAGTTTGTTGTTTGTGCTTGCTTGAAGGAGGCTAATTGAATAATGTCAACTGAAGTCAATTAGAAAGAAGCACAAATAATCTCAATATGTATGCAGTTGTGGAATATGATATGTCCATAAATATATTTGTTGAGACGGCTTTCGATAAGCACTACGACAACACCAGAGGCCGTCAAGGAGCCGAAGCGTTTCCATCCACTCAGAACGTGGGGTTCTATACGTTCGAGTAACCTTTGATGTACATCGTATTTTGGGTTAATCAAATAGAACATTTAAGAATCTTATATGATTAATTGGGGTCAACTACAAGGTCAATGTGTGGAGCACGCACTGAATAAGTCGCACTTCATCACCTTGTATTATCAATGAAAATGCAGAAATTTGATTGAATCACGTATCTCGTAAATAAAATCTATGTTAATCTTATGCAATAAGGAGCTCATTTCGATTATAAATATAAGATAACACTGAAATATCTAATGTTGTTGACATGATTGTTCGATTTGAAACCTTTAAAACTTCATAGTGCTTACCGTAGGTCATAAACCACTGAGCATGGAATTAATGTGACATAATGATTTTAAATAAGAAAGAAAGATTAGTTCAGCGAAGAGTTCTCTTTTTGGCGAATTCATTTTAAAAGCTGTACAATCGCAAATAGATATATACTTATTTTTAAAGGGTGATAATAATACTGATAATAAACTTTTGTTATACATGGTGACAGTGAGGTTAAATAAACAAAGGTATTAGAAAAATATTTTTGAAACAAGGAAAGCGAATAATCGTTTGATAGTAAATGGCTTAAATATTCATCTGGTAAGGATGGCTCAGCATGATAAAATAACACAAAATGTTGAAACAAAGATGAAATGTAATCGGAATGATCGTGGAAATAAAAACAAACCGGTTGGAGGTAGAAGATTTGAAGGGAAGATAGAAGGTGAAGCAGGTGGCTGTAAAGGAACAAGAGTATGAAGAAAGAGAAAAAAAAATTTTTAATACATTAAGACCATGGTAAAAGAAGAGGTTGTACCAGTCTCTTTTGTACACATAATTCTAGTTTTTCAAAATGTATGGCTATTGCCTCCGCAATGCAAAGAAGATGCAGTCTAATTGTCTTAGGAAGGCTTCTACTTACCTTGTAGATGACTTTGAACGCAGAGTCTGTTTTGATTGAGTGACCTGTGTTCACAAGGTGTTCGATTATAGAACTTCTTATTGAGCCGTTGCCTCCTCTTCTTAGCCACGCCGGACAATGTTCTTGAATTCTTTTGGATAAAGTACGCATCGAACGACCTATATACCTAGCTCCACAAGAGCAGGTAAATTGGTAGATGCACATTGAGTTGGTCAGATGCGATAATTTATCTTTCAGATTATTGGTGAACAGTGATCGGCTGGAGAATAATATTCGCAATGTTGCTGCGAAGAATGTTCTATTTAAAGAATCCGAAATTCTCCTCTTTAAGATATAAGCGGCACTATCACCTTTGAAGTCGATGTTCATGTTTAAAATTTTCTTTTCTACTGTAGTTGTTTGTGGTTTTGGCATTTTCGGCTTCATGTTCTTATCAATGAATATAGAAGGATATCCGTTTTTGATAAGTATCTCTTTTAAAAGGCTCAATTCTTTCTCTACGACCTCGGGGCTACAGATTCTTCGTATTCTTGTGGCGAGAGTTATTATTAAGTTTCTTTTTCGGCTGATGGGAACCCAACTGTGGAAATTTGATAGTTGGCCATTCCACATGGATTTCCTGTAGATAGATCTTTTTAAAGTACCATCTTGTTTTCTTTTCATATCTACATCAAGGAAGTGAATATTTTGTTTGCTTTCAACTTCAAGTGTGAATTTTATTGATGGGTGACAATTATTAAATGTCTTTAGGAGATCACTTAAGTTACATTTGTTGTCACAAATGATAAAGATATCATCCACATATTTTTTATACAAGTGGAGGTTTTCTATAATTCTTTTGAGTTGGTTGTTTTCTAAATTGGCCATGAAGCAATCTGCTAGTAAAGAACCAAGTAAGGATCCCATTGCTATACCCTCCTTCTGTCTATGAATTACATCGTTGAATGTGAACTGTACATTGCAAGTACAACGTAGTAATAATTCCTTCAAATAAACCTCAGTTATCCCAATGTTTATCTCAGTATTGTTTATGTACTTAGAGATAAAATTAATGGTCTCTGTGATTTTATTGACTAACGGTTATTGGTTTCACAGTTTCCAGTTAGTGGATAGTTCTATGTTCGTACACAATCTGTGTGAAATGAGATGATCACAAAGATGAGTGTACAAATTCTGTGGTACTTTTACTCAGCATATGTTATAGACTAGAATGGTTTCTACATTAGGCGATCATGATAGATTGAATATTACTCACTTGTTGCTACTAATGAATCCTGATGTTTATGAGAATAGACAAATCGAAGTTATCAATCCGTAATATTAGGCAGTACACAAAATCAACTCTTTTTTGATAATCTGTGATCTAGAAGGATGATAGTTAGGGAATGATTCTTCGAATATTACTTGACTTTCAAAATTTATGAAGCAGAAGCACAACTCATACACCTGAATATTGAAGACGTAATTGAATTCTGGTGTTTGCCTATTGATTTGATGCAGACAATGCTTATGAACAAATTCCGGTGATGATGGAAACTGATTAGTTTGATGTGTGCGATCGTCAGATTCACAACTCTCACTTTAGTCTCTAAATCTTTCGTTTATCTGGTTGACCATAAACATGAACTCAATTGTCATCACCGAGAATTTGAAAGGATAGATTTTCAAACTGATATTTGAAGTGATCAAGCGACAAATGACTGTTACTACTTAGTACAAACAAGAGAAACAAGCGAACAATTAAAGTTGACCGGACAGATTGATAGTTCTATTGAAATAACCATTGACAACATGGAAGCAGTGGATGGCCGTTTCAATTTCGTATGGAATTGGAACTCAGTATGAATCCAGGACG